ACGAAGTATAGAGACAATGTCGCTAGTCCAGCCGCCGCCGGTGCTAGTCGTCAGAGATTACATTATACCGATGCCGTGAGACATAGTATTCAAGTCTCTCGGCTGCCACGGGTGCACAGCCCTAAACCAACTCCAAAGTGGTTTAAGGGGTTTCCGGGGTCGGGACATTGTCCATGTTGTTGGATAGGATGAGAAGTTTCTCGTAAAGAGGCTGAAAGGTCCATGTTCAACAGGGTTGTACGAGAGCGACGATTCCGGGAATAAACGCCAGATGTTGTCAAAATCCTTGGCTCCAAGATATCGCTGAATGCTGTTGGGTCGAGGTCATCGGGCCACGCGAGAGACCGTTTCTGCGACCCTTATTGAAGATTTTCTCAAAGGACGCGGGCACCTACGGCACGTCGGCGACGATCCACGACCATTTCCCACCTTGAGGCTGCTCCCGTAATCCGCTAAGATATGAGCCTATTCCAGGCTGCCATGATCTCAGCAGAGCGTTGTCAGTCAGTCAGTCAACCTGACTCACCAAGTGGGCAAAGACTGGACAGGCATGGAACAAACGCAACTCGCCAGTAAAACCCGCCTTGCAGGGGCGCTTATAGCGCAGCCTCGAGAACTCCCATCATGATGGAATCCATGAATCTCGATGCACTGAAGCCTTGCGCCAAGCGACTTCACAAATAGCGATGCCGGAGTTTTCCCAGATATCTGTCTGGTGAGCCGCATTCTGCTGGTAGAATGACTGATGATGGCTTCTGCCTGGAGTAGAGATGTGAAAGCACTCGCTTTCGGGACTTTTTAGGGCCACGCCGCGCGCCGCGCCCGCCCCCTTTTGATATGCACGTCTCGCATGTGGCCCAATCTGCAGAGCTCAACGCTCCGCGCCTCACTGACCGGCAATAATCAGAAAAGCAAAGAATGGTAAGGCTGCAGGATGCCCTGCGGATTGCCCTTCTGCGAAATGGCGCGGCCGTCTTGCCTCAGGCAATACGTAAAGGCACCAGCGCCAGCATCACCACCACCATCATCATCAAGTGTGGAATCATATGCTGGTCGTGATAGAGCGGCCAGGGTCCGAGCCTTATGTAGATGTAATGCAAAATCCGCCGTGTACAGCGCGAGTGCACCAGACAGAGCTGTGAGCGGTATTGTGTAACCGATGGCGTTGGGGTGCAGTGCGGATGTGCTTATGAGGCGCGGTATTCCTCTTCACTATGCGGATGCGGACTTCTGCTAGAGATGTAGATTGACAGCGGGGCAGGCACAGAGGATGAGGAAGGGGACGATGAAGATGACTGCATCCAGAGGGATAAAGCGAAGATGACAGCATTGCGGAGAGCGGCCTATCCGGCGGCTCCAAACATGCTGCTATCAGCACCATCTGCAAGCCTCAGTTGCACCAGTAAGCCTACCCGAACCAACCTACCAGCCAACTGGGATTGTGAAAGCCCCAAGATGACAGGATCCACAGGCATCCATGTCGCTGGATAACGTGAAAAGGGGAATGGAAGTTAGTGGCATCTCGAATTCGCATTTCGACGCCGCACGCTGAGAAGAGCAGCCTTCCAGACGTAATACATCACCAACTTCATCAGAAGATGACTGCCTAGCCCGCCAGCTCCGCGCCTCTGGACTTCAGATTAGCATACCGTAGGTGCATATTCTGTCAAGGAGCTAATCAAGGAGATTAGCACAGAAAGGTCAAAGATTAATTACAGAAGTACCTGACACCCGTCGCAAAGATCAGAGTGCTGACCCGGCGCCTGCCGTCGTCTTAGCTTTCAAGGCGCATTTTCGTACCGGCGCCAATAGGCTCCCTCATACCTGCATTTTTTCGCCTTTGATAGGGGTGGTTTCAGGGAAGGACAGATGGTGCCGCCCAACTGGATCAGAGAGGGTGGCTCAGCCCGCCTTTCCCCCTGTGCAACCCTTCTATCATGCAGTACAGACAGAGTTATACAGAAGAGTGCTTTTCCCCAAGAAAGCCACCCCCTCACGAGTCGTGGAAGCGGGATGCTCGCCGTTTGTTTCCCACACGGTTGGATATAACGTTATTGCTTCCCGGTATATGAGAGCTCAATTAATGGTGTATAGGGATGTGGCAGGCGAACGACCTGCGATGTTCGGAAGCGTACGCGCCGTAGATACTCGCCAGCGATTGCGTACCACCCTCCTTGTAACCTTCAATGAGAACCGCATTGATTGCAGTTGCGCCTCCTACGGATCGGTACCGCTCGCACCTCGGTCTCACTTCATGGTACTGTCGCCGTCGTCTACCGGTACAGTGGTCTAGTACAGGCGCCCGCGGGCCACCAGAAGAAAAGAAAGGAGAAAGAGAAGGGGTACAAGAAGATCGACATCCAGACACGCGCAGCTGAGTGGCTAAGATGCGAACCGCTGATCTTCGCTGGGCCGCTCAGATCAGGTCCCCCTCCGAGCCAGGCGTGCCAGGATACCCTAACGCTCCACTGCCAGCGACTGCCGGGCGGGCGACCGAGGGGAAAGGGATGGGATCCCAGGCCACCTTTTGCGCTGTTCAGCTAGGGAAGTCCGGGGTCGCTCGTTCCACAGAAGTATTACGCGGGGCTTCTAGAAGGCCCAGGGGCTGGTCGCACTCGCTCTCTGACCTCTTTTGGCGCAGCGCAGAATGCCGGCGATACCCTCTTTCGGTCTAATTTGCGGTGCCGCCGTCATAGATTCCCTGCTGTCTGTGTCTGTGTCTGTCTGTCTGTCTCTGCTGTTGGTCTGCCGGTCTGTCTGTTCAGAGAGGTTGGCCGTGGTGGTGGTCATTAGGTAGCAATCATGCAGACGCAATGGTAGCCAAAATGTTTCACTGTGCCACTGACATCGCCCCGGTCGGGTCTCTCCTGCCCTGCCCGGCCAGCAAGGTAATCGTAATCATGGTAGAATCAATCACGGTGTGGTGTCGGGATGGTGTCAGTAGGTTTCACGTAAGCCACATTAATTGGCCGGGACGGGTAAAGTGTCGCCGAAAGTGATTCTCATCTCTACAATGCAGGCATGTGAAGAGAGGTCACTGATCGAAGGCTTCTGGAAGGTCGGGACCGAAATTATGTGCGGTGTGTAAGACTGGCCTCGTACGGGCGGCTGGGGTACGGTGATACATACCCAACTCTCACAACCTAGAGCTTGTGTCCGGTAGTTGCTCAAGGCAGGTACGTACATTCTCGTGTCACGAGCAGCAAGAGTCGCAAAACTTCGGCGAGATTGCAGTGAGGATAGTGCGAACATGGTTAATTTTGTTATTTGTTCTCAAATTAACTACTAATGTAACGGCAAAGACAAAATGAGCCAGGGACACTATTGGCGAGGACCCGCCACTACTACTCAGCGCAGACCGCCCGGGTACTGCAGCTGGAAACCAGCATCTCATGCCACATTGTTGCAGCAGGAGAGAGGATCACTTGCGCTGCAGTGTCTCCTCTCTTCCTGTGCGTGGCTGCGCCCTTCTCGCACCCGGTGGGGAGGACTTAGACACTCGACCCAGGGCTCCGGGGGGGAGGATGGGGACATGCAGTGAGATGACCTACATTCGCCGCTTCCATTCTGCTCTCCATCCAGCCGTTCGTTCAGCACGCGGCCAACCGTAATGGTACCTCGTATCTTCTCCTAAAACCCCAAGGCGCCCCTCCACAGCCGTCCAACGATTTTGTTCCTGAACTAGCAGAGAATACGATGTCGTGTAATGCGTGTGAAGGGGGGGGGGGACTCGGCATCCTTCTAGAAGCGAGGCCCATTGTCGGAGGGCCGAAGTGCTGAGGATGGGGGAGCTGGTCGTCGGCTGACACAGCTATTAGAGCGCCTACATCATTTCCCTGCCCAGCAGATATCTCCGATGCTCAGCCTGTTGCTTCTTTGATAGCGCCCAACTCGCCTCAAGCCCCCGATCTACATCCACAGGATCCCCGCTGCTCGGCCAGATCATATGTGTGTTGTGGTGCAGAAGCCTTGGTATTTGTCGACAACCAGTGTCTGCTTCGACTGCCGTATTCCGGATACGCTCGTCTCGGCCACGAGATGATTTCGTGTTTGTGTTGGTCCCAACCTTTCCAGAAGACCCTCAAGAATCCAGTCCAAGAGTACTTCTAAACCGAATATCCAAACATGGCTTGATCGTCCATTTTGTCAAAGAAGAAGTTCGCCCGACTTCAAGTCGAGGAAATGCTTTTTCGTTAGGCTTGGTCGTCAATGCTCATTAGGGTATATTCCGTCGTAAAAGGCCGTAAATCATCCGTAAGACAAAAATAGAATTCCAAGGCTGAAGGGAAGAAAATGAAACTTGAAGCGAGTGCGTTTGTGGTATATCCAACCAGTCGCGTATGGGGTATCGTCTAAGAAAGCCTCTGTATGCCGTGTCCGAAGAGGAGAAACAAGAAAGAAAAAATTGGAAATGAATCCGAATTGGTTCTCTGTCCCAGTCTTGCCAGGCGGTGGTGCATTGCTGCATATTTCTCTTGATTTAAAACGAAAAGGAAAGAAAAAACAAAGCCACCTGTATTTGAAGTCCGGCCCTGCTGTAAATGCATCTCAAATACCCGCCCCGGACCCAGCCATGATGAGGGAGAAAAGAAAAGCTTATGACCGAGCTAGCGGCTGTGGTGGTATTGAGCATCAGAAACGCAAAGGACCAAAAATCAAGAACGCGCTCGCTAGACATAGGAAATCCAGAATTAATGTTGCGGAAAAGGATGTGCGGATGTGGTTTGAGTCGCTCCTTGTTCATGCTAAACGCCGTGATGCCTTTGTAGAAGTGGTGATGGCTCTATGTCGCTCTTATGCCGGATAGAGGGTATTTTTTTTTTCTCACGAAACCAGGCTGTGCCTATGACGGAAGGGAGGAAAATATCTAGGAGGACGTAGCCACTGGGTAGCTGTCTCCAGTGACTGGTGGTTGTCACATGGTTGTCGCGTACTCCTGGTATCGATCCCAACCGAAGCCACCATAGCCAACACTAACACCGCATTGAGGTGCAAGCATACTAGGTAGTGGCAGGTGCGGAATAGGCGCTGTCACGACGGGTGAGTTGTAGAAAATCCCTGCGGAAGAGTACGGCTGGCTGTAAGACGGCGTTGGAGGAGAAGGGAGATGGACCTCGCCCATCGCCATATTGGCCCAGATGGTGGCACTTGAATCCGCCGAGGTGGATGTTACGCTTGGACTTGATGGCAACACTCTCCAAGCATCCACAGGGGCTGGTATACTTGAAGTGGTCGTCGCCTGAGACCAGATGTTCAAGTTCGCCGGGGAGCTGGGCAACAAGGGTGGCTGTCGGATCACATCCACAACTCTGGGTGGTGGTGGTAGTAGCGGCTTCAGAAGTCCCATGATGTTGCTCTTGACCTCGTCGCTCTTACCGCAGAGCAATTCGCCTGCTCCATCTTCCTCAAGGCCCTCCAGGGCGGAAACATGGGTCCGGTACACGAACTTGTTGATCGCCTGGATGAAGTCCTCGTGAAGCTTCTTGCATTGCTGCTCCTTCTCTGACCAGTCGTAGGTGCTTGCTTTTGCATTGACACAGTGAATGTCTTTGTGATACTCAATAAGTGACTCAATGGTGTCCGGAGTAAGCTTGTAGGCGACCTCGTTTCTTAGAACCATATCCACATGGACGATATAGGCCTCAACGTGGATGAGCTGGTAGTTGAAGAGAGCTTCTACCAAGGGGTTGGAGTCCTTCCTCAGTTCCGAGTCTGGAGCTTTGGCCACCATCAGGGACGCCAGGGTCCAAATAGCATTTGTCGAAGACAGAGTCTCGGTCAGACATCTTTGGTGTTGCGGTACGCTGTTGAGAGGTCGCTTGATCCGGTTGATCCGCTTGAGAGTCTGAGTCAACCATGGCTCAACCTTTGAACCCAGGACAACGTTGACAGAAGATGCTCTGGGTGCGAAAGCCGCCGCGGAGGCTGGGAGTAGTTGAGGAGGCATTTGGATAGATTATCTCTTTACAGGTAGACCAGACTGGTAAAAGAAAAAGGCGCAGAGACAGGGAACACCGGGTGAAAGGCGGTGGAGCGCTGGGCAAACTAGAGGTGAGATGGGAAACGAATAATAAGAAGGAACAAGGTGAGCAGCACTGGCGGTCCCAAGACAAGGGAACTAGCTTGCACACCAGTAACCACAAATAAGAAGAAGAGAAACGGTAGACGAGTAGTCGTGAAGAAGAGGAGGGGAGGGTGAGAAACTCGTAATGATGGTGCGAGGGTGGTGGGGGTGTTATACTAATGGCAGACCACCGCCCCGTCTACGGCCACTGTAGGGCCAGATGGGGATTGGGGAGAGCGGTTGACGGTGGAGGAGGAGCATGGACAGGGCACGCATGGATGATGGATGGCAGACCAGACCAGACCGAAGGGACAGTCGGCTACAGGGAGGGAGAGAGGCATGTACATTACACCATGTCGCCATCAGTAGCTCGCGGTGCCCGTCATGGCTGCTATTTTTTGTTGCGCCAGGCCGCTGCGTCCCCCTTCAGTCCTGCTGGTCGGAGGATACCTTGGATACCTTGCTTCGTTTTTTCCCCTGCTGGTGGAGCGACGCCTGCATTAGGTCGTCGGCTCAGATCAGCAGGCAACATGAAAGACCAAGCGGCGCGCGTGCAGACGGATAGACAGGGCAGAGCGCTGGATGGGTGGATGGGATGGATGGATGGAGGGGACTTGCATTCTCTCCCCCTCCAAGCCCGTTCCAATTGCCAAGGCAGGGCAGGGTAGGTACAATTTGTTTCGTACCGACCGATGCTGCACCTCGTTCTATTCCCTGCGCCGGTCACGCTTCGGCACATGAAGGCGACGGACAGACAGCGTCGCTGCTCTGCGCTGCGGTGCGCTGGGGCGGCGAGCAAGGCATGTAGCAGTACGCTGGTCCTGTACATGGTGGGCTGTGTAGAGCTGCATATGCTGAATGACAAAACCCCGAAGGGAAATCAAGCAAATGGGAGACCCCAGAAACCAGCGACCGCAGCTGAAAGCTGCATGGTGGCCAGCCCAACGCCACCGGCTGCGCAATGTACCGGTACGACTTTCCGAGGGTTGGCCCATCCACCCTGGATCCGGGAATTAACACTCTCGACTTGGAATCCATGTCTCGCCCAGGTGCCATGGGCAGGGTGGATCATCAAGCCTGCCTGTCATCGGGGGCATCGTTGCGCGCCTTGACAGGACGAGTGCTTTGCGCAATGATGAAATGACAGCTACCAAGTATACAATCAATTGCTGAAGGAGGCGTCTTGTTGAAAGCGCAGTGCCACGCGCCAGTGAACCTGTTACGGTATCTGTTAGGCGGGGCACAGACTTCCTGACTCCCTAACATCACTGCACTTTGCTTCCCGTAAGTAGGCAAGTAAGTAAATTGTTGTGGACCAGGCTCTAGTTAACCCGAATCGTCAACCCCCTCGGTTGATTAGGTTCGAGGCCAGCCCCAGCACGCAGGCGACTCCGCTCCGGTTTTCGCCCAAAGCTCCAACCATGCATGAGACGACGACACCCTCTACGCGAGCAGATATAGGGCCGGCGGCACTGTCCAGCATGCCGAGATTTATTGCCTTGCATCGAGACAACCGTCGATTTACTGATTGATTGCTGACCGTTGCGCAGGCATGTAACGCGGCTGCTTTGTGAGATATGATGTTGCATATATTAGCCCTCCTTCGCATTAAAGACGTCGTCATATTCTTGACGGCCTGTATGCCAGCGGCCAGAAAAGTCTTTTTCTCATACTGCGTTGAAGCAGCCTCTACGATGTAAGGGTGCAGTCCATGCTTCCACATGAAAGGTCCCGATTGGACGAGACAGCCTGCGTTTCTTTACTCGCTCATATGGGGCCATCAACAGAGCCATTCATGCAGGTCGCAGATGCAACCCGGACCCAAGACGAAGAAGCCATACAGACGGCCCTCACGGAAACCTGCCTGAGCAGACTGAAGCTTGCGCTTATGCAGGTGAGAGTGGGCGGTCTCTCGTAGTTCATGTTGATGCAAGACGGCAGCAAACCACCCCCAGCGCCAACTCGCTATCACGAGATTGCCCCAAGCCGTCAATTATATATGGAAATTAGCCCGCAATGTCAACTACCAGTGACAACAGGTAGCGAAGAAGCTGAAACATCCAGACAGATGATGCAGATACACAACCCGTGAGACTGAGTTGATCCCAATGTATAGTACTCACCCTCGCAGTGGAGCAAGATCATGCATGGCGCGATAAAGTTGCAGACAGATGTCCCTGACTAGAAGTAATAGTCATGGGTCTAAGTGCAAGTATGGCCAGGAGTCCGGAGACGACGGCAATCTCCCCTTTCCAAGATCGACTTGAAACAAGAGTCAAGCGCGCCTGGAGACGACTTCTGGTATCTCAATGGTTGCGCTGCCATTCCGCCAGGCGCAGTTGGCTCAATGGGTTTCCTGTCCATGTAGGATCACTTTGCGGCGCATGTAGCAGTCTAGATGACACCGAGCTTCTCAACGGCAAAGCATTGGCCCGCGACGGGAACCCAAAGGGCTCTCCTGCATGCTCCCAGGGCCTGCTAGTCCCCCTGATGTTCCTGAACGAGCAATGTCCGGGGTAAGACATCATGCCAGGACCTCGCGGCGTTGGACCTAGGAAGTCAGCGATCAAGTCGCTTTGGTATGGAATATATGCAACGCCAGGTCTTTCTGGAAAAAACGTGGGCAGGACTGTGACAGTCTTGCTACTGATTCGGGAGCCAAGGAGTCTTAGTGAGAGCAAGGACAGAAGAGGTTGGGGAGCAATGATAGCCTGTAGATGGCCTCGTTCAAGGATGAAGACCCATGCTAGCGGCGGACGGTGAGAACAGGTGTGGTTGAGAAAAACCTCACTTCTAAGACTTCATTGGCTAGTCAGCTGAAGACCAAAAAGGCCTAGATATTTGAAAAAGGCCGAGAGCGGATTTCTGATTGGCCAGAAAATCCAAAACCACTTGGAAAGGATAAATGGGTGGCGCCAGAGAGGCTAGACTCCCACCACTGCAAAAGATACATGATGAGAGATGGCATACGAAGGAAAAGGAGCAGAAGCGAGGAATGGATGATGGGGACATTTCGACCCTAGTTGTGGAGCCGTAATAGTATCTGGTGCTTATAACAACGGTGTATATGCAGGCCCAGGGAGTCCAAAGGATTTCACCTCTCGGCTTCTGAGAGCCCAGTTCACTTCCTGTTTAGGGTGGTCCCTACCGTTCCAGGCAAGCCGGTTGCTGAAGCTGCCGTTATCGAGGCTGCTCAGCTCAGACCTGTAATATGGCTTGGATCAGCGCCTCAACCAATCCTGTGGGAGAAACAGCATGGCAATCTGGCCTGGTCAATTAAGGATGTTCTCCTCGAGGTTGATCGACATCATGATGAAGGTGACAATGAGGCGAGGCGAGCCTGCGCAAACAACTTGAATCGAGGCACGGCAAACGCGTCAGAGAATATCCACCGAGAAGTCTCCTATCGCGGACCTCGAATTCCGCACGGCAGGAGGGCAGCAGCATCACAGTGAGTCATGTCTGGCGGGGCGATATCGCCGTGATGTAGAGTACTTCGTCGGTACGGTTGCCGTCCATTTGACTTGTCTGGGAATCGGCTCTTGAGAGATGAAACCCTGGAAATGATGGCATGCTGACTGCTTGGATGGGCTCTTTTAGAAGGGCAGCTGAAGCGTCCGGGTTCCGGGGCATCAGAAGTGAGGAACTTTTGGTATAGGAAGAAAAAGCGGCGGTCTCGGCAGGAATCGGTTCTACACTAACCTACCATGAAAGGCGCCCGCCTGGGTTGCCATTCTTGGTAGGCGCGGGCCACGGGCTGGAAGGAAGGAAGTACCCGAAGTACCTGGATCTTGCCGCTCCCTAGGCTTGCTCCCTAGCCTCTGGCTCCCTCACACAAAACCCATGAGTCGGTACGTACACTAGACGCAGTGCTTGCTCATTCCCGCCTCTGGCCGCACTAACAAGCGACCACAGCCGACGCACCAATTGGTGTTGGCTTCGATGGCCGCGTGACTGTCTGTCACTTGACTCTCCCTGTTCTCTGCATCTCGAATCACATGGCATGGCGACGGAGATGCGCGCAGAAATGGGACAATTCAACCTCCGGCCAGAGATGCAGACCCCAAGCCGCGTCGCGACATTGCGTCAATAGAGTCGGTCTTGTCTCAGAGGAGCCATCCTCGCTCTGTTTGCGCATCTGCTTACTGGGTCCCGTGGTCTCCGGGACACAGTACTGCATTGTGACATTATCTGAAATGTCCAGGGGAACAGGTTTTACGGACCTCCTCCAGATATGCCGCAGGCTGGCGATTGGTGACCAAGGGACCATTCACAAAGCCTCGCTGATGGTAGACTACGCCATTCCGAAGCACAGCGTCCCCGAGGTCCACCGAACCGAGCATTCCCTGGCCTCACCTTCAGCGCAGGCTAGCCTTTTATCATGATCGTTATTGACTCCAAGATTACACGGGGTAAGTCTCTCTCATGGGCCTATAGTGTCATGCATTTATCTTTCTCCCTTAGATGGACATTAGTGCAGTCAGTGGATGACGAGTCATAGCCCTCGAGGTGCCTCGGTGATCTCATGCTAGGGTTTTTCTCCGGATGGGAACTGGCAAAGAGGGTTAGTTTCTCCAAGAACATGGAACTTAGGCGCAAGAGCTGTCGCCGAGTATGACCCAGATGCGAATCATTAATCTTCACAAGCCCCGTACCTCATATTTCCTTTCAGTGAGCCCATAGGATCACAGATATCGAAGGTCCCATACTTTAACATGTATTGCTACACAGATACATCGAGAGGAAGTGGAGTCGCCCGGCAGACACGTTCTTGACACGAGTCGTCTTTTCGATTGTATTGCGATTGTGTGTTCATGAGACAGGACGGGATCAGTATCGCCGGCCACGGCTAGTGATGTGGGGAAGAGATGGGGCGAGAATTCTTGAGGCGAGGGGATCGTCAAGTGGCGCAGGTGTAAACGACCCTTACTTGGCGAGTTTCGTGCTCTCATTCACTGACCAAATCCGCTTAAGGGCCCTTCTATTACTCTACTACTGCAGGAGGTTTGGAAGGTCCACGAAGGATAGGCTGCGAAGAAACCCAAGATTCGTTGCATGCCAGGTACAGTTGCATTGGCATGTTGTCTAGATGGCGACCCCATGAGAAGCTGAAAGATTCGTTAAAGATGCATGCAAGGCATGAAGCCGTCAAAGAGCAGACCTTCCCCTTTCCACCGTCTGGGTCCGCTTGTTTCTGCAAGCCGAAGTGGTGGGGCTTTTTGGTGGTTCCTGCTTTCGAGCAAGTACCAGGATATGGCTTGCTCAATTTTTGTCCAGCACCTGAAAAGACACCATGCTCAAAATAATTTAGTTTCCACAGTACTTCTTGATCTTCCGGTAGGTGCAGGAGGCGAGAATAGGGTTTCTCAGAATAGCTGGGAAGACACCAAAGAGCCGAGGCGATGACGATATTGACTGCTAACTGCCTTTTCAGGTGGCCATGTTTTCCTTGCGCATGTTTCACATCTGGGAGGCTGATAGCCACATCTTGCATGCCGATACGAAACTCCACGTTGGCAGCCACACGCGGCACTTGCAGGGGTCCGAGCGACGGTAAAGTGTGGCGAGTGTGGCTGAGCCATTTTTAGCGACATGCCATATCAACCCCACTATCGATCAGTCCGGACCCACGTATTCGGCTCTCTCCAACACGGAAATACCAAGGGGCGAGCCAAACGTACTGTACAAAACACATGATCGGTAGAATCTTCTTACTCCAGCACACGAGATTCCTGTTCCTTGATTCTCGAACATAATGATCGACTGCGGAAGCAGATTCCCCGGCTCTGAGCCACACTCGCCTACGAACACAATCTGTGAAAATCTATAGCTTTTATCGATATGGCTCTGATCTACAGGCTGCCTCTACCTTCGAGCACGGTGTTGCAGAGACCCTCGAAATAGAACGATGAGGCAAACTCCTCTGTTACAGCTTGCCATCCTCTTTGATTTCATCTGCATGTCATCAGTCGCGCCATAGAACTATACCATAGCAGCAACCTAGACTCGAAACTTATGGGAAGCCATAGGGCGGGTATGAAGTGTATTCCATACGTATCTGTCGCAACAAATGGATTTCCGAGTCGTAAATTGAATGTTTGAGAACCTTCCTGGATAGTGCACATACCATCCAAATGTACGAAGGACAACTATACTCAGTGCCATGGTGGCTCCTGATAGATCCTATTATTGTACCAAAGTTACTGGATTTTAATTGTAGAGACTCTTCAAAATGTCTTGAATGCGGTGAAGGGTAGTCTATTACTATCCCCATCAGGTCCACCACAACACAAGAAAAAAAAGTGTCTTCACCAAAAGGAATATTGTCATAATATACACAAAAACTATGAGCAATGCAAAGTGGTACAGAGCCGCAAAGAGATAAAGGAATCCGACAGAGCGGTAGAGTGCACTGAACCTAGGTCTAAGGTGAGGGAGACTGTGGTGGGTGGGCCCAGAAATGGAAGGACCTGGACCGTGCAATAGCAGATAAGCTCACTGGCCGAGTCTGGGGGAAATTACACTTGTCACTTAACCGCCGCAATTGCCCAGCAACGACGTCAGCGACACCCAAAGTCGCGACAGCTTCCGACAGCATCTTCTCATCAAGCCCTTTTGCTTGCCATCAAATCAGGACATCCCAGAGGTTCCGAAATCACCAGCTGTATTGCAATGGGACAAAAAGCTCAGAAAATCTCACAATAACAAAGCATTACACACTGGCAACCAGGGCTGCTGCTATAGCTCCCAAGATGGCCGAGCCAGCTGCCAGCCCGGTCAAGCCAGCCCTGACTTCTACTCGCTTATCGACACATTCGAGCCCAGCCATTCCAGTGGGATTGAATGAAGCTGCAGTTGATTCCCCGACCTTCCGATCGGTGGCTGCTCACTTCGCCGACCAGGTCGATGCAATCGAACGATGGCTTGACGGCTATGTCAAGTCTACCTCCAAAGTTGTCCACGACATCCTCGCCCTTGAAGAAACCATCAACTCCTTCCTATCTAAGAATGTCCCCCCGCCTAATGCTGCAGATGGCACACTTGATCCCGATTATACTGTGCTGGCCCTAAAGAGAATTGGAGATGGCCAGCGGGAGTGGTGGATGTCAATCATAAGTACCATGCGGCGCATGGACGGGATCAGCGTTGAACCTATCCGCGCATTCTTGAACGGCGAGCTGCGGACATTCAAGGAAGTAAGGAAAGCTCTAGATCAGGCGCAAAAGACGTTCGATAGTACACTCGCTCGATATGTCAGCCAGTCAAAAACGAAAGAACCGTCATCCATACGCGAGGATGCATTCGCCGTATACGAGACCCGAAAAGCCTACCTGAAGGCATCCATGGACTATTGCCAGCTAGCTCCGCAGCTTCGCTTTACACTTGACAAGCTGTTAGTGCGCGTATCATCCGAGATGTGGCGCGAGATGAAGCGTTCACGGGATGCTGCCACAAGTATCAACAAATGGGGTGAGGAAATGGAGAGGATCCGTGGCTGGTCTAAGGAGATGGAAGGCTCCGAGGCTGCATTCAAACGTGAATTGCAGATTGCTCGACGCGACATAGGCGAAAATGCTCTTGCTCTATTCAAGCCATCACGAGAAATCGATGATTATAGCGCCTCGACCGTGCCCTTTCTGGGCTCTAGGGGGCCGATGAACGTACGACCGAAAGATGAGTCTGCTGTCATTTCGGAGAAGCAGGGCTGGCTGTTTCTGAGAACTCTCACAGGAAAGCCTGTCCGGGCCAATTGGGTTCGCCGGTGGTATTATTGCCGTGATGGCATCTTTGGTTGGCTCATCCAGGGTCCACAGGGCGTGTTACAGGGCGATGAGATCGGTGTTCTCCTCTGCAGCGCGAAGCCTGCTGTGCAGGAAGAGCGGCGCTTCTGCTTCGAGGTCAAGACCAAATCTCAGACACTTTTGCTACAAGCCGAGACGCAGACGCAACTTGTCGAATGGTTGGAAGTCTTCGAAGTTGCAAAAAAGCAAGCATTCGATGCGAGCATGGGTCGCGATAATGCCTCGCTACCTGGCGGTATTGATCCTGCTTTTGCAATCACTCCGCCGTCAATCCCAGAATTTTCAGCTGTAAGTCTCGAAGGTGCCGGGGATGGTGAGCCCATTCTTGATAGGACAGGTACTCTTCCTGTTCCCGGCCCAGACGGCAATCTCGCAACTCGATCTAGCTTCGATGTGACTGTCAATCCTCCACGCCGGTCTATCACCGCACTCGGAAGAGAAGAAGGAGAAAGCAGCCGGGATCACGCTGCACGTCTGATGCAGAAACTTGATCTCCATCGCAAAGGAGGATCCAGTTCTGCAGAGGGCGGAGTGGCGGCGGGGCCACAACCTTCTGGAGGCATTGCAAGCTTGATCTCTGCAAGCCACAATCTGCTACCCGGATATACAGGCTACAATCCTTCTGTGGCAAACTTAGCATCTCCTCGGCCACCACAGCCTGCCCTACAAACGGTGAGTGAGATTCAGGCCAGCACTCTGGCGCCCTCAACCTTAGCAAAGCCCCCTGCGCCAACAAGCCTGAGCAAGTCTGCTCTTACTGTGAGCAGCGAAAGAGCTTTGAACCCAGGCTCCGCCGGCGGCTTCCCAACAGCAGTTGTTGCGAATTACTGGGGCACCAGCCCATGGAGCACCATCTATTCATCTAGGCAAGACGACAATCAGTTCCTTAGACTGGATGATGATCCGTTTGTCACTGCGAATACCCAAGCTGTGCCCGTCTCCAACGAAGACAACAAGTCGGCTTTGAGTGGCCACAGGAAGACCGTCAGCGTTGATGTCCCACATCTGTCTGTCCCAAGAATCCAGGAGAAACCAGTAGCGGAGACATTCCCTCCCGACTATCCTATTGAGCTCAAGATTCAGCATGCGCAATTCAGGCTCCTTTTTCCAAACGTCCCACTTGAGGAGAAACTGGTACTAGTTTTCAATGCGGCTTGGACGAGCACTTCCGAAGATGGCTCTAGTAAAAATCGTGGTCTTGCTGGAAATGGGCGAATCTACGTCACCGCCGATAACATGTACTTCTATGGACAACAAATGGGTCTCGTGGTTGCGTATACCCTCACTCTCGACATCATCACCGAGGTAACAGCAGCTCCAGGCCGGGACTGCGACTTCATCTTTCTGCATTTGGGACAAGACATGAACAATACCGGCTTCACCCGTATAACGATTAAGACTTTCCTCGAGGACCTCCCCCTTCTTCATTCGCGACTCAACCTTTTGATTGACGATCTCCAGGCTGAGGAGCCAATGGATGTCCCTGAGATTATCACAGCCCTCAAAAATCTGGAAAACGATGAATATGATAAGAAGAGTCCAAGCGTCGAGAGTTGGGAAGAAGTATCCTCAAATACCCCGATTGACGATGGCACGCTTTCTGGGCGGCCGGTGTCGAGAAGGCTCAGAGATGTCAGCGGAAGGCGGTCACAAAGAAATCTCCTCAAACCAGCCCCTAAGCTCCAGCTACCATCTCATCCAGTAGTGTACGAGCCTGAGGGTATGCAGAGAAAGGTCGAAGAGCGGCATTTCGAGCTTAGTGCTAAAGCTTGTTTCCACGTGCTTTTTGGAGACAAGAGCTTCATCTTTCCCAAGTTGTATTTTGAACGTCGGGCCAAGGAGATCGCTCAAGGACCTTGGGAGCTAGGCGACCAGGGCAAGATGAAGAGACAATTCAAGTTTGTGGTGGACTACGTGGATATGCTTGGGAGAGCAAAGCCAGTGAACGTTACAGATACCCAATCTGTCGACATATTCAACGATCATATAACATATGTCGTAACACATGTCAAGACACCTTGGCATCTACCTCACTCACAAGCATTCAAGCTGATTACCAAGGTTGTGATCACACATCTGGCCAAGTCCAAGTGTAAACTAGCCATCTACACTAAAGTAGATTGGTCAAAGACACCGACATTTTCAAAGAGCATAGTCGAGCGACAAGCCCTCAATGATGCTACTCGAGACGCTGAAGAGCTAGCTGAAGTTGCCACAGACCAAGTTCGCAAGCTTGGTCCACACAGCCGGACGAAGCGTGCTATTCAAGTCTACGGAAACATTGGGCAGCAGGCACAAGTTGTCGTCTTTACTCCTGGAGAGACGGAAGCAGCCAAGAAGCCACAAATCAAGCCTCGTACTCTGACGGAGATGCTTTTTGAAACCCTACGCTCCTTCATGGAGAGTGTGGTCACGTCTCTCATCATGTGGGCCGTTGGAGGCGTCAGAAAGTTCTTTAGCATCGTTACCGCGAATCGCATCATTTTACTTCTTCTAGGCTTCAGCATTTTCACGAACGTCGTGTTTACTGGACGTCAGACCTCAACGTGGTGGTCAGAGAGGCGGGCAACACGGTTCATGAATCGCTTGGGCGTTGGTCCCAATGTCATGATGAGCAAGGCGGTCTACATTCGAGACTTTGAGGAAGCGGCTCAGGGGACATCGGTCAGCCTTCTTGTGCCGCAACAAAGTCACTGGTAAGCGAAACATTCCCGTCTGCAGTAATGAGAAGTAGAAGTGCTAATGAGACAATTTAACAGCTATGACACCTTCATTGGAGTCGTGAATGCGACTGACATGGATGCGCCGCACGAGGATGCGGGATCCGCGCTGACATCGGCTACGAGTCGAGCCACAGCCCGTCGCATCCGCCGAACTCGTCAGCGTCTGGGCTCGTACCGACATGACTTGCTGGTGGCCATGCGCATCGTCAATAGTATTGATCAAGAGATGATTCAGTCGGAGTGGGAGAACTGGTTATCTGACGAGAACACCCGCTGCGAGCAGGTGAAGATCATGCTTACAGAGAGGAGAGACGATAAGGAGGAGGCTAATGCGAGGAGGAACAGCGCGCCGCAACAGCAGAAGGTGATGAGACCGATTGATGGGAAGAGAATCGAGGAGCTAAAGCAGTGGCATTCAGAGTATTGTGGCAGCTGCAGGACCGATCGGGACCAGTTGCTGGCGCAGAGGCAGAACGAGATGATTGCATGATGAGGAGGCTCTCTCAGGAACCACGGGAAGCATATACGAATAGGTACTTGTATATTTCTGTACAGCACTACAATACCCAATAACCGCACATAAAGCAAGCATCAGCATATAACACTGAAAGACTTATCTCTATTGCAAAGACTTGCGCTTCGCAAAACCTATCTGCACGTGCTGAATAAGAGCGAGATCGTGATTAGTTTCTGGGAGCATTCGTCATTGGGTAAGGTATTACTTGATTACACGGTAGAACCCCTGACACTCCCGCTGAAGATGCTCCGGAGTGGGGTAGCCGCGCTAAGCTGCCGCGTTTTGATAGCGCTGTCCAACCCAAAATCCACTGACGTTATAGACGAGCCGGGGTTCCCGTAGGGTAAAATTGGCTTGGATTTGTTGCTGACTAGGGGTCGCCCATCCGCGTTACGTCACTGACCTCATCAATCGTAGGCGAGGCTCGAACGTGAAACGAGGGGATAGATACGTAGGCGGACAACAGTTACCATCATCATATTTTCCAAACAGGTTCTTCCAGATTCCCTAGAGCACGTAATCGAGCTACAAACCTACAGTCTTATCTTCGGTTTCCTAATTGACTGGATTAGCTCGCTCGTACAATACTACACGCACCAACAGACAATGACACCAGCACCCATCACGAGAGACAGCTAGTCAGCTTCACACGAGAGTTACATTCTGCTCTCCAGCAACATGGCACATCACGAGCCATTCAAGGCCCTGGCGCCTATTGACTGGGCTACCATTCCACATGACGACCTGACAGAATTCCTCACCACAACCTTTGCCTCCGCGCAAACCCTTATCGACTCCATTCCGGTCCCACCGTCAACCAGCCCAACCGCAGCGAAGACAGGTCGTGCGCGCGCGCACACCGAGTCCGAGGTTCGCGCCAGCTCCTCCTCGCACGTCGAGCTCAACCGCGCCCTCGCCGGCCGCGAACACTCCAATTCGAGCCCCTCGGCGGCATGGGCGAGCAAGCTGGAGAAGGAGTGGAAGGAGATCAAGATGAACCCGAAGGAGAACCCCCTGAGCATCTCGGTGTATAAGCTCTCGGCCAAGGACGGCAAGGGCGCGTGGTTCGCGCGGCGCAGCATCCACGACGGCTTCACCTTCGAGAAGTTCAAGCTCGGTCTGGAGCGGGAGTTCGCCGAGGCGCTGAAGATCAACGAGGGGCCCGGGAGCGGGGCCGTCCGGGGAATCGGCGCCGAGAAGAAGGCGGAGCAGGAGTCGTGTCCCGGCGTGGGCAAGATTGAGGTCTATCAGCTGAGCGCACAGTTTCCTGGGCCGACCACGCCAAGGGACTTTGTCACACTACTACTAAGCTCCGACGCTGGCGCTGGGGTCGTGGAGAAGGGCAAGACAGGTAAGCTGCCGAGGCAGTTCATGGTGGTCTCTAAACCCTGCAATCACCCGGACTGCGCGCCACGCTCGGGATATATCAGAGGCCAGTATGAGTCTGTCGAGATCATCAGAGAAATACCAGTGGAGAAGCCGCTAAGAAGGACGCGCTCATCCATAAATCTAAGCCGTGACGAAGTGAAGGTGAAGGAAGATGGAAACGTGGATATCAGCAAGGAAGCCATGCTGAGATCAGCACGTAAAGCTGCCGAAGCATCAGCGAATGAAGATGGTCACAAGAGGTCCATATCTCTCACCTCGTCAATGACTATGCCCAGCGAGTCTGGCGAAAATGCTGATGACACTGAGACAGCCATTGAGTGGCTGATGATAACCCGTAGCGACCCTGGCGGAAGCGTTCCTCGATTTATGGTTGAGAAGGGCACCCCTGGCGGCATAGTAAGCGATGCTGGGCGGTTCTTGAAGTGGCTCTCGTCAAAAGACCCGCGGGACTTTGACGAGGCGGACGACAATGACTTCAAAGAACAGGCTATCAAGAGCGAGGAAACGCAGCCGGATAAGGCTTCGAAACCCCTGTCTCATGAGGAGCGAAGCTTATCTACTTCAGCTTTGGACAAGGAAGACATAACTTCCGCAGCCGAGGCGTCAGCTCCCAGTGGTTTCTATGGTATTTTGGCCAATGCCCTCGGCGTGGCTGGTTCTATGGTTGCCACTCGTCTACCAATCTCATTTTCTGGGTCTGCACGAGGCTCAGAGGTTGGTGGCAGCTCTGACATCGACTCTTCAGACACATCTTCTGAGCGCAGCTTTGTTTCCGCAGAAGGTCAGGAAATGGATGAGAAGCTCGAGACCACGCAGGCAACAGAGGCTGGAGGTGTAGATGATACCACCTCCGAGGTAGCATCCAAACACTCGGGGCGATCAGATGAGTCACACGCTGTATCGGCCACGGCTTCACAACACGAGAAGGAGCTTAAGAAACTACAAGAAAGGCGAAGGAAGATCGAGGAGAAAATGGCCAAGACTCAAGAACAAAAAATGGCTAAAAAGGGCGATGACAGCGAGGCTGCTGCTGCGAAATTGCGGGAGAAACATGAAAAGGAGCTTGCAAAACAGGAGGAGAGATACCAGCGTGAGCTTAAGAAGCTAGAAGAGAATAGGAAGAAGGAGGAGAAGAAAGCCGAAGAGCGTAGGAGAAAGCAGATTGAGAGGGAAGAGAAGAATAACATTGGTATGGAGTTAGAGCGTGTCAAGATCGAGAGGGATATGGCGCTCAAGCAGATCGACATTCTGAAGGACCAGGTAGGAGAGCTACAGTCTCAGAACACGATGCTAGTTGCAAAACTGGGGAAGCTTGGGGCGTTGGGCAAGGAATGATTGACAATACAACGTGCTGATAGACCAAACATCGATAAATGATGACGGTGGTGTTTCATCAAGCTCTTAAAGGTGCATTATATTTTTCAAAGTGTCGAAAGGTATATATAAAACATTACTCTTATTCATGCGCCGAGTGTTTCAGCTCGGTGATCCTAGGCAAGATGTATGGCGTTTTGATCTGCGAAAGCCTTGGTTTGTAGGCCTGTAGAGAACACATACCTAGTCTCACCAGATGGGAACACATGAATAAAACGTAAATGCGGGATGGGCTTCAAGAAATCAAGACATATTTTTAAAATGATGGTATAAATGGAAAACTAAAAGCAATAAACCTGTTTGCTAAAGCTCTGTATTCCTTATTTTGGCCGATGATGTATGTGTGCCCATGATGATCCTCCATGTCAAAGAGTCAAATAAAGAGTGTTGAAAACTGTGAATAACTGTTCCCTCGACCGCACTTATATTTACCTGTCCCGGTTTCTTTGGTAGAATTTTCCATTCAGACTGTCGAGTTCTCGCAAAGCCCACTCCCATCAATAACGCACCCTATGCCGACTTCAGGCTAAGATTATCGACGATGTCTTCACGCCTAACCCATGAACTCTAACCCTCATAGTCAAGTCTGTCGTTCAAAGTAGTTCCCTTAGCCACCACCGAAGCCTGGTTGCCATTCTGAGCTACCGTGAAGACCTTGTTACAGTTCGTGTCATCGCCGGCTACGACGTCTATCCCAACCCATATCGTATCACCGGCTGCAAAGCCGGCATCAGTAATCAAGTCAACTGTTTCGGTTTGATCTGTGCCATATAACTGTCATATCAGAAATCTATCTTTGTGGCATAATTACTAGTTTAGAAGTTTACCAATCTCAAGCTTCCAATGACTCCAGTTGTCGCCCGATCGGGCATCCCAGGTGCGATCATTGGACATGACCTTGGGGTAACAGACAAATCCGCCACTATTGGTAAAGTTGACTTTCTGGATTTGGTACTTCGACATGGTATCGATAGCTCGGGTGATTCGATAATACAACTTATTTAATATTCTTTAGAAAATGTATATTGGTGCTATTAAGATAAAGATGTGATAGCCAGACCTGACTGAACTCAGGACAAGTCCACCTTTTTATACTTTTTCAATCGTATTTCCATATTAGAACATATTTCAGCCCAACTCCTACGAACCCTTTTCTGATGTCGGTATTGGAAATATCGGCCGTTGGTGTTAAAGGATGGGAAAGACATACGACGCATCTGTGTACAACTTCAGCCCGCCATCAACTTGTAATCAAGGTCTCTAGCAGTCGAAGCAAGGCGACGAGCTCAATGGCTCCCACACGCATCGACTGAGTGGCTTCGGTCAGGATGCTATCCAGGCCAGCCTCAGCTAGCCATCGGCAGGCCTAGGCCACGATAGACGGAGCAAGCATCTGGACAACATGCGGAATAACAGGTACGGCCTTTAATCTGACACCAGTATCACAAACACTCATGCATAAAAGCTAATTAAGCTTCAGAATAGCGTTAGTTGATTGATTTTCTGGCTTCTCCCTTGTCACTTCTATGTCTCAAGATAGTTCATAAGACTACCTAATGCCTCCATTGAGGAGAAACTGTTGCAATTCATTTTACCCTTTTATTCAAATTCTCCCAGAACTATGGACGGTCTGCATAAGTTTAAGCTTGTATTCTGTTAAATTAAAGATTATGAAATAGCTCTGAACCTCCATGTCAATTGAACAGGCTGGCTGAAGCCATATGTGGCTACTTTAAACAAAGCTGACAGCTACAGAGCCAGACAGTTGTAAACCCTACCAGGGCTTCCCCTGTACTTCTCTGAGCTTGTAGGTCCTCGGTACTGCGGGTTTGAGGATTACTTGCCACAGAGTCCGTGGCAAAGCTTATATGGATAGCGTTAGCGTCAAAGAATGATAAGTATCCTGAAGTTTTCGGTGAGTTTCATGCATTTTATAGGTTATTGACGAGAGTTGAGGTGTCTGGTTGTCAAATCAACCCGAATTCGGAAAGATCAAAACATGGGGTATTGCCTCTTGGCATCATACTGGGAAAATTCAGAAGAGGTGGCTCCAGCTACAATTTCTTTTGCCGCGTTATTCGGTTGCCATACACTGTCTCAGACGTGCATTTCAGCTTTCATGTGCAACCAACGACAAACATGCATACCGAAAGCCTCAATGCTAACGCTAAGGATTCGGGCTGCTTATCCTCAGTTAGCAACAATCTAAATCGCAAGTCGTGGACGATAATTTTAAATCTAAGCATTAACAAGGTACAGCGCTAAGGTAGAAGGAAGCATAAAGAATCCCACTGCTTCCTGTCTCAAATACATGAGCGTATGTAGATCAAGCCCTGTTGAGCGTGGCAGCAGCCGTTCGGTAGTCGTGGATGAGAACCAGCAGTTTCCAATGTTCGGACACCTGGCCTCCTCACACACGATGTGAATTGAGTGAAACATGATAATTAATTTTAAGGGTTGTTTTGGACGTATGACATGGTGGATTTTAATAGAATCAAGTCCAGGTGCATAACTCAGGATAACCAAATGAGCGTGCTGCTTTTCGGGAACAATCAATGACAATTGGGTAAAGTATTATGTCTAAGTTCAGGAGTAGGGAAAGATTTCGAAATCATGATCCAGCAATACAACGGAAATCCATTTTTAGAGCCGTATATGATTCCGTTGGTCTCCATTGCAGTCAAGACTCAATCACTTATAAAGCTCAGGGAGATGCTTCCCTACGTCAAGCTCGAATGGTCCATGTAACTCATAATTGGACAGCTCCAAACTCCTGTTGATGAGATATCCGGCTTGTTCAGTCGACGCAGCAGCGAGGTATCGTTGTCCCTCGTCGGCGAGATCCTTCAGTTCTGGCCGACTTGCCCCTTGCCTAGAGCTTTAATATTTGATATCTCTATGCTAGGTAGATGGCAATTCTTTGAGCAAGGTCATTGACAAATGCATCCATCGCATCGGTTGATTCAAATGCCTGATTGATCCAGCCGAGTCTCTCAGCATCAGCTCCAGTGGCATCGAATCCTGTAAGGAGGTATTCTAAGGCCCGCCCCGACCATTTCACAAATTACGTAGTTAAAAATAATCCTCACATAGAGAAAGTAGATTGATTTTGATCAAGAGGCCATCTACCTATCATTACAAATAAGAGGCTGCCGCCCCTGGTAGGTATATGGACTGTTTTGGTCATTACGAGAAACAAGGAGACAGGGTGAGAAGAAACGAATCAAAGAAAAATCCGAACGCAGTTCTCCCTCCTAAAAAGGAAAAAAGAAATCCAGTAATAACCCGAAACCATCTTAGCCGTCTCGAGAGACTCGAGACGCATGCGTTCGTTCCTACCTGTTAGATATGTGTCTGTTAGCGTTTGCCTTTGACATACGAAGAACCATGCGCGATAACAACGGACTTCTTGCTATCCTTCTTATCCTTATCCTTGCGGCTGTCATCCTTGGACGAGAACCATTTCGAAGACGAGCCGCCCTTATCCTTCCTGTCTTTTTTCCCATTGTCCTTCTGGTGGTGGTGATGCTGCTTTCCGCTTGCTGAGCCCTCAACGCTAACAGCCTCGCCTTCCTTGAAGATCTTAGCTGAAAGCCTCCGGCCCTTAAACTCAATCTTGTTTATGCGATTTATCATACGGAGTGCAGCATCTGTAGTGCTGAACATCATAGTCGCCCAGCCCCTTGGGTTGCGGTCCTTGTCAACGGGGATCGTTATCTCCACGATCAGGGCAGCATCATTGACGGCAGTGTCACGCAGCAACTTGTCTACGGCGGCCTGCGAGGCTCTCCTGGAGATCTCGCGAATGAGGACGCCGCGTTGTTCAGTGCGGACGAGGCCGCCCGGCGGGGCGGTGGGCGCCAGACCTGCGGGCTGATGCATTCCAGGAGGATCAGTGTAGGTGCCATAGTAATCACTTCCACTTCCGGAAGCACCACTAGTGCCGTATGAGTATTGCTCAGTCGAAGGAGCCGGAGAGTACCCATAGTATGATGGCGACTGCGCATAGCTGAACGAGGGTGGCATAGAACTAGGCGGAGCCTGTGAGTAGCTTGCTGACATTTCATAGCTCGAGGTCCCGGGATAGTTATAATGCTGATCTGGGCTTCTCAGATAGGCGAGTCCGGGACTCATACTGGCTGTTGTATAGGTTCCCTAAAGAGCAAGCATTAGTTCTACCAAGAGCTTATGTAGTGACAGTGGTCTATTGACCGATGCAAGGGGTCGGACTACGACCATGACATACGTAGCTATTATTCGAGATATTTGACAAAGATGACGAATCAAACTGCGGAGTCTGGGACCACGAGCTCGTGTCCCCAACACTAAAGGCAGGAGACCGCGGAACCTCTGGACAGCCTTGTTCGCCCGACACTCCTCCATCAGAGGGGCCAAGCTTGATGTCGCGTATCTTGACGGGGCCGGTCTTGTTGCGACCATCAGCAATGAGAGCTCTCCCATTGAACTCACCGCCGTTCAACTGATCTTTCCGGCACGTTAGTATCTCAGTGTGGCGGAAATGTTTGCTCAGGGGTCCCCGGTGCATAGAATCGGAAACACCATACCAAAAGCCGCATTAAAGTTGTCCAACCCACGGACGCGCACCCATCCCGAAGTACTCTTCGGGAAGATTTCCACATGGTCTACGGTGCATTTTTGACGGACAAAGTCTTTCAATTGTTGCCAGGATGCGTTAAATGGTAACTGTGGAAAGCCGATCAGCATGCATTTCTCCTTGGCATCTGCCTTGCATTGCAGGAATATCGTCATATAGGACGAACTGACATTAGAAATTGGTATATAGTAGACTCCTGTCTCACTTCCGGGTGGGACAACATCCCGGGGCGATTGTGGAACGGACATCGTGGATCGGGAAGCCGCTTCTAGAACGCTTCAGGTGATTGGGGAGTTGTGGTTCCAGGAATCCGGTTCAGAATGTAGCTAGCCGGTCGTACGATGGAGATGAGCAGGAAATCCTCAAGTTCTGAGTATATAGTTACACACAAAGTGAATGTTGGTTCTATATGCCTGCCTGCAATATTGCTCGCTTGCTTCAAGGTTGAACCAAGGAACCGGTATGCGAGAGATCAGGGTCATCCATGTTTATATCGACAAAAATACAGCAAGATGAGCCATTCATCAACCTCCTCAACTGCACCTTGTCGATTTGGGATAAGAAGCGTGTCAAATACGGTAACTTTCGCCGATTTCAGATCACATCCGTGCTGCTCGCCATACAGAGCTCCACGACTTCCTCATCTCGTCAGAGGCTGACTTACCAAGACCAAGTCTAGCATCTCCATTGAGCAGAATGGCAATCACTTTCAATGTGACTCTGCATTTGGACGTGGCTGTTTGATAGTGACTCGGAAGGAGATCGGGTGAAGCTACATCGCAGTCTGCATAGAGTTGCATAAGGCGCGGGCCGATATAAGGTTTCGTGGACACGGTTTTCGGCATTGCGGTCAGATGAAAGACATTCTCGAAGTGAACAAGTATATATTCTGTGACGACTACCTCTTGTGTTGAGGTTTGCTCAACCTGCAGATGCTGTGATATTGCTCATTGTCCAGTGACACGCTGCGATATTTCGATGAAGAGAGACCTGGGGTTTGATACACGGTACTTAAAAGTGAACTTTCATGCAACCCGGTTGTTGGATTGTACCCTAACGCAAGATTCTGCGGCTTTGACCCGGGGGCCGTCAGCCGCTCAGCCGGGGTCATGGATGCTGCATTATGGTTGGTGATGTGCCAGACCAACAGCCGCAGATGCAAGGGTAGGACTCACGTTTGACAGATGCAAGCCTTTGCGAGTGGGATGTGTTATTGACAAAAGCTCTTTCTGTGCTGCTCAAAAGAGATGAGCTTGCGAATCTCTGCAACCTTACGTACTCAATCGTGACGTAATGGCATAACTCAGTCTTTCAAGCTGAGACTGTTCATCAGAGGAAGAGTGGATTGCAGTACAAGACCAGGATCCATTATGACTTGTACGGCCGTCAATGATACCCTAAGATGGATATTTTATTTTAGCATATGCTGAGTATATGCTCTCCCCGCACTGGTCATTGGCTTTTCCCCATACCGCTCCAATCCAACAACACAACTTCCGAGCCTTTGGGCATGCCCACTTACAGTTTTGACATGGTCATCGAAACTGCAAGAGGGTCTGGCCATTCTCGACAGGTCATTTTTCGTGGCAGTCTGTCCTCCTTTTCGCTGCACTCTGCAGCAAGTGAGACTTGTCGTACGATATCTGAACGCGTGCGGAAATTGCTTGGTTCGAATTGTTTGCTAAGATCCCCAAACGGGCGTACCATTTCCCCGGGATTCGAGCCCTGCTAGCCCTTGTAATACGGGAGCTTAAGCACAGACGGGTTGGAAAAGCTCGGATATATCCAAGCATGCATATCAAGGGCCTGTATCCCTCTTGAAATGGAATGTGTCATCCAATCGGCTCGCTTCGTCGTCATACTCTCCTCCGTCAGAGCCTTGATCAGACCTACTTGCTTGATATACGTCCAATAAAGACTCTTCTGTGCGGGCGGCGCTATGCAAGGTGCTGTATTGTTTCTCCTCCCACGGTACAGCCTCTTCGTCGGAATCTACAAGCGATGCAAGAAGGTAATTCTTGGTGTCCGAGAAGAAAAGAACGCCAGGCTCCGCATCCCTCAAGTCAAGCCAGAGGGCTTTTGATTTGCCTGTCATTTGATCCATTGATAGCTGTGAGGTGAAGTCGAGCGGTTTAGGTCCCTCCGTCAAGGGGTCCCATACAAAAGCAATGCCCTGGTACATGTCGCCCTCACATCTAATTAACAAGGTCTCCCGGATTGACGGATGCCATGATGCCATAGATATGTTCCCATGAAACATCAACACGGCTCGAAGCTCGGCGGCTGAAAGGTCCCAAATCCACAATGTACTGGGAGATTCTTCTAACCGTGTAGCTAGTAGATTAGAGGACGAGTCGAATGCCAACCAAGAACAGCCACTTTTCGTATCTGCATTGTTACCTGGTGGTAGGGCGGGAGGAGAGACTGTTTGAGCGGCTCTGACGAAGCTATGACGAGCCCCTCCTGCAGAGTTTGTGATATGCTCTTGCCAAACCTACAGGGCTCTAGTGTTAGTGCAGCTTCGGAGGCCAATCATGTACAAATGCGAGAGCAAACTTTACCTGTAGGGTCTCTGAAGGGGCGATGCCGCCGCCCGGATGCTGAAGCCTCATGGCTTCACTGACAGTATCCACATTCAGTAAGCTTATGCATCTGCTGTAGTCAGCAATGGCCAGGCGCCCGGCCACTGGAGAGAATTGCATGAGTTTTACGCCTGCGCCAAGCTTCGCTTCGGCGGCGGCGGCGGCAGGTTGATTCTGCGGCCCAGACCAGACTTTAAAGAGGTTACCGTCAGCAGTGTAGAACAGGACCCTGTGGCCCTGACCAGCGGAATCCCAGATTGCCAGCCATCGGTTATCTGGCGTCCAGATGATGCCCTGGGCATCGACTGTATCCGGGTACCAGGATCTCTGGACCTCTCTGGTCACGGGACGGTGTATGCTAACAACATCTTTGCCAGCTACACGTGTCATTACGGCCAAGTGCCCTGTGTCTCCCCTGAATGAATAACCTTTGCGTGCAGTTGTCGCTGCCCAAAACTTGGGGTTGCTGATCTCTGTGGCATTCGAAGACACAAGGTTGTAAATTGTGAACTTCAGCCCAAGAGATGTGCAAACACAAACTTCAGTGTCTGTAGGGCCAAATGCAATGAAAGCAGGCTTGGCACCTGGCGGCGTAGGATTTCGTAAAATTGCTCGAAAGGTGCTCTCAACCGCAGAAATCACGACAATTTGATCGGCTGCAGCAACCAGGATCAAGCGGGATGTCGGAGACCATGCCATAGCAAGCAAGGGGCCAGAGAAATCCTGTGGAAGCTTGATGACATTGATAGTTTCCAGAGATGCAACTTCCCGAACATTGATGCTCAGGGAGAGCAACGTGGCCACGTATCGCCCATCTGGGCTTGGAAGACACGATGGCGAGGCTATCCAGATCTTTAGCGCATAGGTTTCGGCCGATTGGAATAAGCGATGTTACCCTTGAAACTTCTTGAGAAGCGCATGTTTATGTCCGGAAGGAGAAGCCGGAGGATAATGATGCTTGATACGTCACGGAGAATGCACGTTCTGTATGACTGGTCATGTTTTCCCCTCGGAAGTTGCCAGTATATTGTTCTTGCTTGGTGATGGAAGAGCGTGGGATGAATAGATCCGGCGATGCGTTGTCGAAGCACACCGGTTTCAACGCGTTTAATGTTGTTCGTCGTAGCGTTTCTGCGAGTACGGTGTTTATCCACTGCCTAATTTGGTCTAGGCCCCGACTCTTGAGTGTGTAGCCCCGCAGGTCGCCTAGCTCCGAGTCACAGTGCCTTGTTCGGCCGCGGGGTGGCGGCGATTTGGGTAGGCTATCCAACCCGCCACTGGCCGGTGCTGCTTACTCATTTGTCTGGACTGAGAGCCAAGTGAATCACAACCAATTCTTTACATCATTCTGTCATGGTGAATATATTCAGAGCGTTAAACGGCATACGAATCTCCTTACAACTCCACTGATTCAACCTTTACCAGCAACCAACATGGTGAAACGCTCTTACTAGTCGCATTGCATTACATTATCGGATCGAAGTGCTTGAGCCCCTGCGATGTCTGCATACCCCTAATCGGGATGCCTGAGAGACATGGCAATTGATTGTGCAACAGGCCCATCCTTCTTTCAGCTGTTTCTGCAACAACTGCGCTAAACAAGCTTGAAAGTGCCACGATGTATCTACGGTCCGCTGCACGACGGAGCGCGCTACCTTCTCGGCCTCATCGGTTCGGGACGCTGCAGGTAGCCGTGATAGCTGCAGGTAGCCGGCAGTCGCGGGGTGTAGCTTCAACTGGACTGGCTCACGAGGATCTGTCAACATTACCCAATCCTCCATCAACCGCTCCTGCTGCAATGGCTCGCCGAGAGCTCATCAAGAATGCCAAACCCTTCTCCCACTTTCTCACCGATACTTTCAACCGGCAGCATGACTACCTCCGTATCTCACTAACGGAGAAGTGTAACCTTCGGTGCGTCTACTGCATGCCCGAAGAGGGCGTGCCTCTGTCTCCGCCGAAGGAGCTTTTGACTACCCCGGAGATCGTCTTACTCTCCTCGGTCTTCGTCTCTCAGGGTGTGACGAAGATTCGGCTGACAGGAGGCGAGCCGACTGTTCGGCGGGACATTCTACCGTTGATGCAACAAATCGGAGCTCTTCGATCCCATGGCCTTCGGGAGCTTTGCATTACCACCAATGGCATCTCACTCCATCGAAAGCTGGAGGGCATGGTTGAAGCTGGTCTGACAGGGGTCAACCTCAGCCTGGACACCCTAGACCCATGGCAATTCCAGATCATGACGCGGCGGAAGGGTTTTGATGCCGTGCAGAAGAGTATCAACAGGATTTTCGATCTCAATAAGGCCGGTGCTGGTATCAAGTTCAAGATCAATAATGTCGTCATGCGAGGAATCAACGACCGGGAGATCATCGACTTCGTGGAGATGACCCGTGAAAAGAACGTAGAGGTCCGGTTCATTGAGTACATGCCCTTTGACGGCAACAAATGGAATCAAGGCAAGATGTTCACGTACCAAGAGATGTTAGACCGCATTCGCGAGAAATATCCTACTCTGGAAAAGGTTCGAGACCACAAGAATGATACGAGCAAGACGTGGCACATCCCTGGCTTTGCTGGACGAGTTGGATTTGTCACCAGCATGACGCATAACTTCTGCGGAACCTGCAACCGCCTCCGAATCACCAATGACGGAAACCTCAAGGTCTGCCTTTTCGGTAACGCGGAGGTCTCTCTGCGGGATATTCTTCGCAAAACTAATGACGACGAGCCTATCGACGAAGAGGCCTACCAGAGGATGAAGCAAATACTGCTAGACCAGAGGCAAGCGCTCCCTACTTCTGACAAGCCACTCATGCTGGCACCGAACTCAGAAGAGCTGCTGGATGTGATTGGCATGGCGGTGAAACGGAAGAAAGAAAAGCATGCAGGTATAGGGGAGCTGGAGCACATGAAGAACCGACCCATGATTTTGATAGGTGGGTAGTTCCCTTTTTGTCACATGATGGGACGAGTCAGACAGAACTGCATTCGGCAGAGCATTTTACACAGCATCGCTGGCGTTCTAGGTTGCATTATTGGCTTGCGTTATGACGCTTCATGAGAGAGGCATTGGATGGTATCAACTAAGGCTATGATAGACCGGATGCCGACCTTACAACTTAAGAATGATACTCGTAATAACTGGGGGCCAAATCGCCCAGCCAGTGCCACATCGACACACATGCTCTACAGGCTGCCGTTCCCAACTTATGGGTCTGCGCTCGGCTCGAACCAAGCACGCCTGTTTTCAACAATGAACAGCTGTCTCCGCAAGGACGAGGATGATGAGCCGAAACTCACTCATGTGTCTGCAACTGGTGCCGCCCACATGGTATCTATACATTCTAAGACACCTACCACTCGCACAGCCAAGGCTGTGTGCACTGTTGTATTCTCTGACTCCACCGCCCCGCGCCTCATCCAGGAGAACCAGATGAAGAAGGGTGACGTCCTGGGAGTTGCACGCATTGCAGGCATAATGGCTGCGAAGCGTACGCCTGACCTGATCCCTCTGTGCCACCCGATTGCGCTTTCGCACGTAAGTGTTGACCTTGAGCCGAGTGTCGAGGCCAGACCAGAAAGTGGCGTTCAGCCGGTTGAGAAAGGGGGGAGGGCAGATGCAGAGGATGGAGGCAATGGGGCCCCGACGGTGTCCAAAATTCAGATTGCGGCAATCGTCACATGTGATGGGAAGACTGGGGTCGAGATGGAAGCATTGACGGCGGCCTCAGCGGCCGCTCTCACAGTGTATGATATGTGCAAGGCAGTAGACAAGGGGATGCGTATTGAGGGCTTAAGGGTGGTGTTGAAAGAAGGAGGAAAGAGTGGGAGATGGGTCGAGGGAACGAAGACAGACTGAGCCCTCATAGATAGGTAGTGGCACGCATTATGGAATACTACCTCTTTATCTTTGAAAACATTCCGTTTCATCACATTGGTCTTGATCATGGCGAGTTAAGCAATGTCAGCCTCTAGTGTTACATACATTTCCGAATTGCGATGTTTCTTCCCAATTTCTTTTGTCACTATATATCACTCATGGCAATACAATTGAGACATTTGACCAGCCATTAACATACTGAACAAGAAGGGCTTGGTGTTGAGGGGAAATTGACCCCGTCCCAAATACACGTGTGCTTCATCCATGATTGTGTGGCTTTCACCCACAGTCGAGACCAATTGATGAGAATTTTATTCTAACATCACAGGTGCTTATGGAGAGTACCGTACTACCTTTAGATGGAAACGCAGATGAGAACCCACGAAGAGCTGAAAAGGGAAGGAACGAGCGAAGCAGGTCTAATCGAGGAAGGCACCAGGTACAGAATGGGAAGCAGCACGCATCAAAATAGGAATTCCAACCGGCAGCCCGAAATGTAGCTCCTTCAACAACGACAACAATACATATACTTAAGCTTCCTGGCAGATAAAATCTTGTCGAAACCCCCTTCATATCACGAAACGACAATCGCCCTACCCAATTTTTAGTCGGAAGAAGGCTTTGAGGACTTCTGCCACCCGGCCATCCCCTCGGCGAATAAAGCGGCGGTGAAAATTGAGTCTACTGATCGACACTGGAGCCAGGTCGTCTTGAGAAGACGGCGAGCTCAGATGTCGTCAGGAATCGCCGCCGGCGTCCAATGGATGCGCGAGATGCGGCTCAATTATCTACCTCGATCTCGATTGGGCAATGGCTGGTCCTCCCTTCCGCATAGCGGTCCGTCAAAACCAAAGTTGGTAGTCGCTGGCATGACGATGGCCCACTTTCAGTGCGTTGAAGTAAAGAGACAGAACCGAGCTTGTCGACGGACGCACGGGCCTTTGCCTCCCTAGGCCAGAGTCCGCCGTGGACCCTGACTTCGTAAGAGAAACTCACCAGAGTCAGTTTTTATTTTTCAAAAGAGATCGGATTGGACGGCCGACTGTCGCATGGCGCCAGGAGCCAATGGTAGCTCGACGATAAGACCATCGGCGCCAACCAACCAGGTCGTGCATCTTCATATTAAGCCTGCAGGGATTGTGCAGCGATACCCGAACCGTCATGCACCGGAGGCACGAGCTGAAATGGCAAGCCCAGCAACAGCAACAGACAAGATATGGCAGTCAAACAGACATGTTGAGGGGCGGACGCACAGCCTCACGTACCCCAAGGTGTGGCAGTTATCACTGAGAGTATCTGGTCGCTGATAACAACCATGCGGTGAGGCTCTGTTTAACGTGAAATGCCGTGAACAGTGGTGTCTATGGTTCGTCTGTCCACACGAGAAGCCTCACATCCCCGGCTACAACCCTGCAAAGGCGGCTGGGCTATGAAAGTTTGTGGGACCGTGCTGCAACCAATGGTCTTTCTCCAAAAGATAAACCCATACGAGTTGTCGGAGAAGATGCGACGGCAAGCCTAACTAACAATCGAGATCCATTCCTCTTTGCTGCTTTGAGTTCACTTTTCAGTGACGATTTGGCCGCACCGATGGTGGGCCGAAAAGGACCAGCCGGCTGTCCCCGTCCCCCGATGGTCTCCCCAGACACGGCGATTGTGCTGCGTTTTGTTCGGCGTGTTCACGGTCAGCCAGCGGCCACTGTACGTAATAGTACACCTGAAAGAGGTATGTGGTCGTGTGCTGTGGCAACCAAGGCAACCTAACACGGCCGAGGATGGATACTGAGGGAAAACGGACTTGACCGACGACCATTTTGGCAAGTCCAGCACGAGGTGGAGCACTGAATTTCAGTTGATCAACAGCACCACCCTTGGTTCCCGCCGCCAACGAGTCAGGCCCTTGCCTTTTACTACTGCCACCGCGGAGTTCTTAACACCAGGCACTGGAAGCTGTGACGACAAGCGCAAGCCCCTGATCTTGTAGATCTCGAGATCTGTCTGCCTCGGGCAGGAGTGACGAATCTTCAAGGTAAAGACCTACCAAAACAGCATTCAGGGGACCAGGCTGTTGTAATGCGTGAGACTTTCAAACACGCCAGACTGGGATTTGGGGGTTCTTCCGACAACGGAGAAATTGGCAGTGTTCATGCTAGAGGCGCAGCTCCTGAAGAGATGCACTGCACAAGGATGTTGTTGAATCACTACTCTACTTGCTTTGTGCTCAACTCGGTTGCACTTTGTTGAATTCGGTACATATCTGCCATATCATGACATACGTTAAAATGAGGAGCTGCCGGAGCTTAGAAGGACGTCCGCTGGACCTTATCAGTTCACCAAGGCCTCTGGCATGAAGAGGGTTTGGCGCACCTGTGGTCTCGGAACAATATCGCCTGACGATCCCAGGATCGTTCTCGGGTTGGGTTGGCCGCGAGCCGGCCTTCTGTAATTAGGGCGACTCGAGGCGACTTACTCGCAGGTGTCTGGAGACTCTAGACCTTGGGTCCCATAATTGGCGGCCGTGTAAGTCGAGTTGAACCAGGCCTCGAAGGTAGCTTCTTGTCTTTAGCCTTGGGACGGCGATGGCACCTTCACCGCAAGAAACAATCAATAGTAGACGGTCGACTGTTAACCCCCAGATTGCCCGCCAAATAAGACATCGTCGCTGCCACCCCCCAGCTGCAAGACCTCGCGAGGTGAAGGGAAGAGAGGAAGGATCAACTGTCAGCCATATTGCTGCAACCCCTGCAAAGAAGCGATCAGAGGACGAAACAGGTGGCGGGCAAGTGTTCCGGTGTATTAGTGCGACCTGGTTCTTACTGGCCATCTCCGATCGCATCCATCCATCCATCCATCTTGGAGGTGTTGGGCCGCTTATACCAACCAGTCTACCACCACCGCTTCGCATTTCTCAGGCGACCTCTTAAAACTCTCTCCAACCCAGTCTACCTGCACCATCCATACACAATTCGGTCACCAAGATCCAGATACTGCAGCCTGCAACTTTGCCGTGCTTATCGTCCCTTGACACGGTGGCTTCCGTTGTGGCGTCGTCCAAGTTGCCGAGTCCCGCCGCTCTTACTCGCCTGTCGCCTACCTACCTACCTTAGGTACTGGCTAGCCCATGTCTGGTCCCACGGCCCTCCCGCCAACGAATTGCCGCTATCTATTTCCGCTTTACGCAGCAACATCCTACACCCAGCACCCAGCACCCAGCACCCAGCGGGCGAGCCAACCTGAGCCACCCAGTTAGTTATCTACGCCTCTCGCCGCGTTATCTACGACCCAGAACCTTACACCGTATTCTTCCTCCTAGCATGAACTGCTAGCGGTGAAACCTGTCGCAGAGAGTTGCTTCATCTTTTTGTTTTTTATTCAATACCTATTTGGCGGCCCCTCGAACCCGGCAGCTTGGTTGCTGCTCGAAATTGTCTTATCACAGGCTGTACCCTGTGTTTTTGATCCCGACGTCGGTTGTCGCGCGACTCGGTCGCAAAAGCAGACTGGAGAGACCCACGCCCCTGGGCGAACCCCCACTGCTGCCACCCTCCCCCCCCAACCTGAACCCTCGAGTCTCGCTCCTACTTCACCACAACTCGTGGATCTCACGATCTGCGATAACAGGATCGCGGACCTGCCGCGACAATGGCCATGGCTGACCTAGTAATGCCTCGTCTGCCTGACCAGCACACAACTCCCTTCTATCAGGCGGCCGCACCCTCGCTGCCACCTGCCTACCAGCCACATCATGCCTACAACAACCCTCAGATCTCACCTCTGAGTACCTCGAATAGCACTTCGCCAACCTCTCCCAAGGCCTATCACACTCGGCAGCTACGTCCAATGTACATGCCCGCCGTCCTACGACCGACCGAGTTTCCCTCCAAGTCATCGACCGCGAAGCAGTCCCCGTCGGCAGAGACCGAAGACGACGACGATAAGGCATTGCGATCCAGCAATAGCTTCATAAGCCTGGCTGGACTGAGCGCACTGGGACGCTTGAGCCGACGATCTACTGGCGATAGTGGCAAGTGCATGGGTGGTGATTGGAATCTCGACTTATTCCCCAAGGTCAATGCGCTACCGAAGCGGGATCACTGGAAGGTACGCACGGTGCAAGCATCCCTAATTGTCTCAGACACCATAACCATGTGTTGCACTTCATTTTCCCGACGTTGTCATTGAAGAATCCAGGACTAATTCAATTGTCTGCAACAGCCCGACCAAGAAGCCACTGTCTGCGACGAGCCGACATGCAAGCGTTACTTCAGCTACTTCATCCGCCGCCACCATTGTCGGCGCTGCGGCAATATCTTCTGCGACTGGCACTCTTCGTATGAGATTCCCCTCGACGAGCACGCAAACTACAACCCACGAGGGACACCGAGCCGAGCGTGTGCCCATTGCTACGCCGAATTCAAGACCTGGCGCAGTCGCACCAACAGTCAGGCGTCTAGCGATACGTCTACTCAGAACGGTCACGGCAGTGCGACGACACCCACCAGCCCAATTGTCGCCTCCCCGACCGCCTGCGGGAAGAACGGTGCGCCGAAAGTGCCAGATGCTGCCCTGAGTGTACCCCGAGATTGGAATTGGAGCACATTTTGAGAGTATTACGACGAAATCGCTCAACCACGACTCTCAACCAAAGATTTACGTATGACAGATGGCTTTTCCTGCCCATCAACTACTGTCGGACGCAAATCTCCGCCGACAGAGCACGAGATTACTACTCCGGGCGCCCTGTCAATGACAAGGCTATCCCGAGATGATTTTATGACGATACGGCCAGAACGAAGCGAATACACAAGACGGGATAGAATTGAAGATATAGATAGACCAGAGATTCCCGGATAGACCAATGCGTCTATTCAACACGATTCTGCTTTCCACCCGACAGCTCCGCCGACCTGGACACCACTTGTCCAACACCCAGAATACGTTCTGCCTCACACGCACACGACTATACGTTTGTTGTTATGCCTGGCACGCACCTGGCATACACCCACCTACAACATCCACCTCATCATCACCACACCTAGGATGGCTTGGAAAATCAGCTCTGTGTGGCGGGCGATGTCAGCTCCACCGACAATAGCCGATCCGCGGCCAACCCCTCCGAACTAGAATGTCAGCGTTCAACCAACCCAGACCCGAAATCCGAACGGATCCCTCGGTCTGAGGAGTACCCTATCTCTCTGTTTTCCTGCTTTACCTTGCTTTGCTTTATGGGCAGCGTCGGTGTTCCCGGTTTAAGTTATTGAATTTCCAGGCTGGCGGTGGAATCTCTGGTTCATCCTGCTTTTTCCCTTTGGCCAGGCGTTTGCTAAAGACTAGGAGAGGAGTGGTCGGACTTTTTTTTTCTGTTCTAATTTACTAATTGCCACGAGGGCGGGACGATTTTATGGAGCTGTGATGTACGGTACAAGCTCGGAATCTGGGCTCTGGGTCTATTTCCCCTCCCCCCTTCCCCAACGACAACCGACCTGCTTATCCCAGGCATTAAATGGCCGCACTGGATGGTGGGTTGCCCGCAAGGATGGATGGAGTCCTCTTATCAAATGCAGTAACCCGAGGTTGGCGGACCCGGGACCAGGTTCTAAATTATTGATGGCCCTGACGAAGAAAGAAGGATGGATGAATGTACAGTCATCATTGTACCTTACGTCGCTAGATACCTTTAGGCCAGAATGACGAGAGCAAGGTTGCTGAAGATTTACCATATGACTTGCAGCACGCTGTACCGTGATGCACGCACCGTCCATGTGTTCCTTCTTAAACTGCAACCAATTACCATGGCCTTGTCACACGCAATACGTACCAGATGACAGCACGTTCGTCGAGACAAAAGTCTCACTCGACGCACTTCTTACATCAGCGTCTCTCACATGCCAATACGACAGACAACCAGACAGGGGCCTCGTAAGGCTGAGAATTGAGCCTCTGTTAAGGAAAGTTTCTTATTTCTCTATTCATCATGTACAGGCGACGCCCACGGAGTCAGCCGTTACTATATACATTTTGCTTTGACGAACTTTGCGTCAAAACGTTCGGGTCCGACTCGCCCATCTAAACTACCAAAAGCCAGGTGAAAGTGCACGCCAAATGCTCAAAATGCTCACAAGAAAAAACACAGTGTAAGGAACCATCCATTTTGGGACGTGCAAGGAGCGTCAGCCCGCCTTCTTTCTGAGCCGTTTCCGTGCCTCTCTATAGCCGTGCTGTGCACACTACGCGTTTGCATTTCAAGTCCCCTTTTTGGGACGATGTCTCCCGGATTCGTATCTTCGCCATCCATACCCTAGACACCAGAGACCAGCGGCATCGCCGTTCGTCTAATCACCCCGAACCTAATGCCGGCTGACCGTCTTCTTCCCGTTGGCCACCGCGACGACCGTCTCGGTCTCGCCGTACACCTCGCGCCTGATGCCCGTGGCCGCGTCCCAGCCGGCCTCCTCCGCGACGTGCAGGTGGCTGCTGGGCCGCCGCGCCTTTGCGCTGCCCTTGCCGCTGCGGGCGCGCTTGGACTCGGCGCTTGCGCGCTTCAGGTAGCTGGCGATGAAGAAGCTGACGAACAGGTACGTCAACGGCGCGAGATACAGCACGTTTAGCCAGATGGCGAACGTCTGGCCCGTGGTCGTGATGCAGGGCAGTACGCGCTGGCCGTAGGTGGTGGTGATGCTGTGTGCGTCAGACGACGATCCTCCGGCGGTTGGATGGCCCACGGCGCCGGCGCCGAAGACGAGCCCCTTTAGCCCGTCGAGGAGTCCGCCGGAGGGAGCTGCGTCAGTGGTGGCAGCGGAGCCTGTTGATGCTTGGTTGACGCTCACGACGACCGGGACGGTGTAGCTGACAAACGAGTGTGCCATGGCATATGATGCGCCGACGAGGAATTGGGTGATTTGCAGGGAGGTCAGAGTGCGCTTGACCAGTATCGGCACACGGATGTTGAAAGCCGTCAGGGTGTAGTATGTGTACTGTCATGAGGAGTTAGTTTCCTTGTGCTTATGCCTGGGTAGCTGCTGGGAGACAGCTAATCAAGGGTAGGAGTTTACCATCATCGCATGAATGCCGGAATTGACAAACACAAACATCCAGATCGGGGCGGACATGTATCGCATGCCAGCCCACATGCACATCATTGCACCGGCGTGGTGGTACGTCTGCAGTGTCGAGCTGAGCTTGCCCTTGGCCAGGATGATGAATGTGTCCAGCACCTCGTAGAACTTGCTAAGATAGAAAATCCAGCCGTAGAACGCGAGGCCCTCGTTCCAGATCCGTCCCATATCATTGCGACTCGGCAGCCCGTCTGCACCCAGGGAGACAACGCTCGACAAGCTCGTCCACGCACCGCTGTTCTCGTCGTAGTCGGCAGCCTGGCCGAGCCCGCCCGGTCCATTGAGCTTGCACGCGCTGTCGACGAATCCAGCCAGACCGTCCGGTCCCAGCGGGTTTACCATGCTCCGGCGCAGTGTGCCGAACATGCCCACGAAGGTCCACGCTGAGTATACGGCCAGGAAGACATTGTGAAGGACGACAAACGCGAAAAAAGGGCGGGTCTTGCTAATAGGCCAGGGCTTCTTGCCGGTGGACGTGTTGTACTTGTTCAGCGCCTTTGCGGTGATGGCGTACAGCGCCGCGATTGTTATGGGCACCTTCGGGTCGAGGGCGGCCTGGTAGATGTGGTCCGGGATGAGGAACGGCGGGGCGGAAGGTGCAGTGTTCGGCGCCGGCGGGGGGATGAACGCAGGATTGGCGCCCGGAGGGAAGGTGAACAGCGACGGCGATGGCAGGCTGCCAAAAACGGGGAAATCGGACGCCATTGTGATATGTGTGCACGAAGAAACAATGGCGGAACGCGTGATGGATGAATTGAAGCCGGGAAACAGCCTGGAGGACCTCGAGAAAGAATTTGGAAGGGGCGCACGCGCAAAAAGCTACTTTTAAGAAAGTAGCTTCAACGGTGACGCAGAAGCCCTCAACAAAATTTGGGGCGGTTTCGAACGGCCTGCCGAGGCGACTACGGAGCCCAAGCAAGCCCAGGAGCTAACGTCAAAGGCTTCACACGCGACTGGCTACCCGCTCGGGAAGGGTCTCGAAACAGCCTCGGCGGTATATTGTATATTGGGGGAAGGCTGCTAGAAAAAGATATGAAAGAGGAAATGGCGAGGAGGGTAAGGAAAGTATTGGCCCTCGTATCTCTCAGGACAATGTGAGGGACAAGAAGAGCGGACGACGAGCACAGGAAAATCGATGACGAACACTTAAGAAACAGGTTCCAAGACTTTGGAGAGACTGATGACCCGGCTTGAGCGGGCATTAATAGAACGACCGGATATGAAGGAAGCTCCCGGCCATGACAGGACCGTCAATCGACCATCAATGCGGGTGGGCAGGCCCCAGCGGGCTCCTGGATGGAAAAACAGCTCCATCACGTCAAGCCGTGCATGTTGACATTCCGAGCGCAATCACCGGTCTATGGCACACGTAGTAACTCGACTCCTACCTCGCTGTATATTCCTACCTTGGCCCTGCACCCCATCCTGTTCGGGCAGCACAGTTCGGCTTCTGGTAGTCTGCTGCGGTTGGCCTGGACCACCGGAGTGATACACCCACTGGTGCTCTATCAAAGCTTGACACGACGCAGGATGCAGACCACCTCGTCTTTGCGTGATGATGAGTACTGTATCTGCGTCTTCTCGAACAACATGTCCCTTATCTTGCCTGTGACAGAAGGTAGCACCAAGTAAGATCTGACTGCATGTGTGTAGCCTATGGCAGACCGATGCCATTCACAAGACGTTCATTCCCGGGGTGTGGCGTCATTCCCAATGTTTCTGCAGATGTTCAATGTCGATTCACGGCCACCGGTAGGGTCGGACTGAAGTCTGATGTTTTGTTGGGAGTGCCGCTCAGCGGGAGACCAATGAAGGCTGAGACCCAGATCGGCCCCTAGTCTCAGCGTGTAAGTGCCGTCCGACCGTGGCACATGCCGCGCCCCGCGGTGCCCGAATCTTCATGTCGATGGAGTTCTCATGAGATTGGCCTGATGGGGAATTAAAATGAAGTCTAGCCAGACCTCATCTAATTATGGATTAGCTAGCAGGGCTGATTAGTCTGGATATGCGAATGCAAGGCTGATGAACCTCGTAAACCTCGAATTAGGTGCCAAAAGGACATTTGACTTTTCATTGAAACGCACTCTTAACCCCTCCATCGAACCGTGAAATCTCGTAGCGAATTTCGCTCCGAAGCATTCGAACCCCAGGTCTGGGTCCTTGCCAAGGCTGGGCCAGTCCCGCCCTACGGCAGCACGCTTCGCTGGACGTACTACGCAGTACGTATATGACCTGCTGCCCCGCAGGACCCTTTTTCTCAACAAATTCGGCCTCCCGCTCAGATTTGCCTGATACACTCAGATTTCCGAGGCTCGAAGCTGGGATCCGCGATATTGTGTGGGTCGTCACATGTCAAAAGTTTGCGGTGTATTCACTTGCCTAATCTGGCCCATTTTCGTGAGGTTTGCGAACACGAAGATGCCCCTTTGTGCACCTGGTATGCGACGGATAATACAAGGCTTCGTCGCATCTCCAAAAGTGTTGGGGGCTTGACGCCAGACGGGTCACAGCCGCAACGTGGGTGTGTGGCTGAAGTAAAGAACGGTATAAGAGCCTAGTAGAACTCGTCTCGGTCGTTCCACAATGCCAGGAAATTTATTCCCGACCAAAGGTGAAGTTGGACACCTTGGGTTGTAAGACATGCAGCCTGAGCTCCTTTACTGGAGCCTCTCATATACTGCATGCCCCAGTGTGATCTGATGGTGACATCTGAAGAGCTCTCCTAGGAAGCTCAGAATAGGAAGGGAATACTACTCTCCTCCGTTACAACAGGCTATTCGCTGTGAGGGGCCGAGTAGCAGCAAACTGGTTCTCGCGCAGTCAATGCGATGTAATTCGTTGCAGTGAAGTGAAGAGGATGAATGGTAGTCGGGAGAGGTGGTGATGTCTTTGCTTCTCGATGTCGGACTTCAGGTCTTGCCAAATCGAAGAGGCTCTGTCAGATGCTTATCATGTGCTGACGCCCAGCATCTTCGAATCTGGGGAAGGAAGGATCGAATACCGAGGTCCACAGGGGATGCATTCCGCACCTTCCACACCATCTTGCTCTATATTACTCTCTAATCAATCGTGTTGCCCGTTCCCCGCACAACACAGCAGTTATGCTGCATCCTACTCGCAGAAATTCCCTCCTTTGCAGTAGACTCAAAACCCAGTAGCCAATGCCGTGTAAGACAAAATTCTATGTCTAACTTGACATAATGTGAGTAATTTCATATCGCCTCTGGTAAAGCGTGGAGGCTATGTATGGCCTTCCTTGGTTTAGATTCTTACTACATATTCAATAGGCGTTGACTGCGCCGGGGGTATCTAAGACCTTGCCAGATCTGGGAGAGCGGACGCAGCTAAATCGATAGGCCGGCAGCCCCGGAATCATCCCGCGTCCGCAACATCGACTTTCGGGTCTCTTCCGTGAGGCACATGAAGCTCGGATGTAGAACATCATGAATCCAAGCCAACCCCAATACCCCAGAGTTCATGTTGGTGTGCACCTAGTGTTAGTTTAGATGCGGGGGTATAACTGCCGATCATGGCGCCATCATAGTCTTCCAAGTAGTTCATCAGGAACAGCTCAACTCCACGCCGAGCATTGTTGTCATAAAAAGTATAGCTTCTAGAGTTCCCCGCTGCGGCGGCGGCCGCAACCTCATAAAACTGATGCATGTGCCGCTCGGCGGACACTTGGCCATAACCTCATATCTATAATACCTCTGACCCGAATTTGTCTCATAGCATGCACTAGTCTGCTGGCAAGTCAACATTCAATATGGGTTCCGTAGAGGTGGCATCCTTTCCAAAGCCTCCTGCCTTGCAAGACCCGCCCTCCGATGGCTTTTACAATGAGACGCAATGGGAAGTGCTCATGGCCCTGATGGACGCGGCCATCCCGTCTATTGTATCGCACTCCGCGATGACCGACAAGTTCAACCAAATCAGCATCCCGGATGGCCGCTTTCAAAGCAATTTCAAGAAGATACAGGACACTATGGTTGAACCTCCAGATCTGGAGTCATTCCAAGCATTCCTCAAAGACAAGCCGTCGGATCTTCCCGCGTTTCGACACCATGCTATAAGAACATTGAGTACAGTCAGTGACAAGATGAGACAGGAACTGGGCGGAGTCTTATCCTTGCTGTCGTACGTACCAAAATCATGAATCTGTGTGATTGCATGGACTGACAAATGAGCTCGTAGAACAAAGGCCGGTGCCTTCATCCTCACAGGACACTGCGTTCCATTTCACCAGCAACCTGCTCATGTTCGAGAGTCCATCCTCCAGGGCTGGCGTACATCGTGGTTCTCCAAGATCCGCGTCCTCGCCAAATCAGTGAGCACCATTGCTCAGCTAGGCTGGATACAAACCGCGCCAATCTTCCGCCAGGTGAGCGGATATCCAGATGTGCCCGTGGGATGGAAGGCTGGTCCACACTTCGAGTACTCCTTCCTCCAGTTCCCAGGAAGCGCGAGCCCAGAAGCAGTGGAGCTCGAGACCGACATCGTCATCGTGGGTTCCGGATGCGGTGGTGCCGTGTGCGCAAAGGTGCTTGCCGAGGCGGGCCACCGCGTGCTCGTGGTAGACAAGGGGTACTACTTCCCACCAACGGCGCTACCAATGCCGCAGGAGGCCGGCGCGCGTTATCTGTACGAGAACCAGGGCTTCGTTAACTCGGCGGACAGCAGCATCGTCGCCGTGGCGGGCTCGACCTGGGGCGGCGGCGGCACCGTCAACTGGAGTGTGAGTCTACAGACACAGGGCTACGTGCGGAGGGAGTGGGCCGAGGAGAAGGGCCTGTCGTTCTTTGCGACGCAGGCGTTCCAGGACTCGCTCGACCGCGTCTGCGAGTTCATGGGCGTCCGAGACGATAACGTCCGGCAAAGCCACAGGGGCCAGGTAGTGCTGGATGGCTCGAAGAAGCTGGGCTGGCATGCCAAACCGCTGCCGCAGAACAGTGGCGGTAGCGAGCATTACTGCGGCCATTGCCATCTGGGCTGCGGCAGTTCGGACAAACAAGGACCGGCAGTGAGCTGGTTACCTGCGGCGGCGAGAGCTGGTGCCGAGTTTCTGGAGGGCTTTCAGGTTGACAAGGTCCTCTTTGACAAGTCTAGGAAAGCCACTGGAGTTGTCGGTAAATGGACGTCAAGAGATGGGAATGGTAGCGTTAGTGGTTCCCTAGACCAACGTACCCGTAGACATGTTACGATAAAGGCGAAGAAGGTCATTGTGGCATGTGGCTCTCTCTGGTCACCAATAGTCCTGCTGAAGAGCGGTTTGAAGGTAAATGCCCTATTACCAAGCAGTGTTGCATCTCAAGACTAACAAAAACTAGAATCGTCACATTGGAAGAAATCTACATCTCCATCCTTGTAACTTTGCCGGAGGGTTCTACAAGGAGGACGTCAGACCATGGGAAGGCAAGTACACGTTCTGCGGTTTCAGCATGCGGGACTTTTCAAATCTAACACCCTCCTAGGGGGTATTATCACAAGTTACTGCTCCAGCTTCGAGAATATCGATGGCCATGGACATGGTACGAAGCTTGAAGCTACCTGCATGGTTGTGAGTAATCTTCTCCTAGACTCTGTCGCGAATTGAGTACTGACCGCGGTGATATTTAGCCGTATGCAGTCCTCGCCAACTTCCCATGTCCCAGTGGTCTTGACTTCAAGCTCTCCGCAATGCGTTACCGCCATTTTGACGCCTTCATCTCACTGACCCGCGACCGCGATTCTGGCAGCGTCCACCTAGACCCCAAGGGCGAGCGGCCAATTCTCGATTACACTCCATCGGCGTTCGACCGTGCACATTCTCTTGAAGGTGTAATAGGGCTCTGCAAGCTTCTCTACATCACAGGAGCCGTAGAAATCCGCGCCTTCCTACCGGGCGTGGAGCCTTTCATCCGCAAGGACGCTTCCACGCCAACCTCTAGTATCAATGAGCAAGTGACAAGATCCGATAAGGCGATGGAGGAGCTAGACCTCGGGATTAGCGACCCGGCCTTCATGGCATGGCTAGATCATGTTCGTGCGGTTGGCAATGCGCCCCCGACAGCAATATTTATCTCTGCTCATCAAATGGGAACTTGTCGGATGAGTAGTCACCAAGGTGACGGAGTTGTGGATGCGAAGGGAAGCGTCTGGGGCACAAAGGATCTATATGTTGCCGATGCAAGCGTATTCCCCAGCGCGAGTGGTGTCAATCCGATGGTAACTACCATGGCCATTGCTGATTGGATTGCAAGAGGTGTGGTCCGGGATTTGAAAACCTAAAAAGATATTATTCCGCAAGTAGTGCCTTGTTTGTTCGATGTTATCGTGAAATAGCGGATTTGTATATCTTTGTGATACCATTTAAAATTGACCGTCATATCTCGTCCATTCGATCATTGAGCTTGGGAGCTTACTCTTCTGACAAACCAATCCTCAAATGAGTCTAATCCTGGCGCTGAACAAGCATTATCTTAAGCTTAATGCACGCCGTAGGCTAAGCTTCTTTAATGGCTAACCCTTGACGTTAGTCTGTGCCAAATCAATCCAGATGGTCCAATTAATGGGCGCTTGTCAGATCTCTACGGCACAGCCTCTTAAGAACCTCCCTGAGACGGGCATTTATTCACTGGCTGCCTGAATGCTACCAACTTCTCAATCAAGGCCAGCGTCATCAGCTTTCTTGCCTCTGGACTCGGCACTGCTAGCGACTCACAATTTCTATCATCATGGCAAACGCCAGAGAAGAAAAACATGCGATGCTCATCGACGATTCCGTACCTATCGATGCCGCAGGTGTCGCGCCGGTTAACGACCGTCGAGGTCGCGGCGTTCTTGGTGTCATCAAGTCAATTGGGCGAAGTCGTAAGCCGTAAGTCGATTGAGAAATCCTTTCAATATCAAACCACATTCTGGAGCATTACTGACCTTGCGCTGTGGGACTAGTATCATGATGATAGTGCTCATCACTATGTTCTCCGATACCGTCTTTCGATATTGCAAGATAGACAAGGCGGCTGACTTGGCGCTTCTGGTCTATTACTTCCTAACGTTTTTCTTTGGGCTTTCGATGCTGACTGCAGAGGTGGACCATTGAGGTGGTCTGACTGCAGCGTCAACTTGCCCCTCAACTCGACATAAGGATCCTTTGACCCCGTCTTCCGATGTGTGCAACTCGGTCTTGGACTACTTGTTAAATGGATCACGGCTTACGGGGAGGGCCCGGGCGACAAGCTTCGGATCATGATGCGCTGGAGCGCGGTGTGTATGTAGTTTCGCTGCTTAACAGAGATATCCCTTTCTACAACGTTATCTCGACAACATGTTTCTATCGTTGCTAATCGATAAAATATTATTGGATAACAAGGGGAAAGGAGGGAGCATCGATTGGTAATTTGGAGCAAATGAACACAGTCGGGCTAGACACTGACGATGTTATTGACTGTAAAGACTAGTTGTTTTCAACTTGCCAATTTCTAATACAACTAACTATTCGTTCGGTGACGAAGTATCATGCGTTTTTGATGATCGTTGCTTACTTGTGACATATACTTCCTATCTTGAACTTGCCCGGTTTCTTGTTATTGCTGGCGTTGACAGTATGTCGTTCTCCTCTGACGGTATATCAGAGGGATGCCATCTTGCCGCAGGTACCAGGACCTCGGCCTCACTCTGACCGTCTCTATTGCGTGCGAATAAAGGCGGCCGCCGGGAAAACTCGAAGGGGCCCTGTTGGCTTTGTAACTCATTCTGAATGCTTGTGATGAGAGCTCGGGGTGACGGACGTGGCAGGAAATTTCCGGCTCTAAGGTCGACACGTCTTTCCCGCCGAATGATATTGTAGACGTCAATACTTTTGTCCGCGCTTGCAAGGATGACCTTAAAATAGGCACTATGGGTATTATCATGGTTAGTTTCGACGATACAGCGCTCGAAGCATGTCACCACAGCTCGCAGCTGATCCTTCCATCCCCTAGCGCTGGTTTCATACTGCGAGATGCCGTCGATTATGCAGTGCACCACCACATCTGATGGGAGTTGTGAAAGCAGCTCCTGAAACACCCAACAGAGAGCATCGATTCGATGGTCTTGGACATCATTCCACAGGCCAGGGATATCCTCCATAAAGGAAAAATCGAGATGTGCGCGTTTTGGCCAAACCAGGAAGAGTTGACTGACTAGACTTCGTATCAGACCAGCTGGGCCGGCAAGTGGGCCATCATAAGAGGCGTGTTGTCCGCAGAAAAAGTAAAGCACAATATGAGTGTCCTCGGCCTGAGAAACGTCCTTTGGCATGGTGGTCAGAGTGTCGACAAGGATTGCGCAGAAAACAGACATGGCTGATATTTTGCCAATGTTATGCTCTGCGCAATGTCCATCTACCATCAGCATGTCCGAGCCCCAGCCTACCAGCCATTCGCGGAACTCTCGAGTTGCCATGAGATAAGCGGACTGGCCTAAAGCCTTATCCGTAAACTCATGATATTTACGGAGAATTAAATTGCGGTCTTGGGACGCAGCAAGATGTTCCGAGTCGTCGCAAAGTGCATCGAGAATTTGATCTTGAGTGATACTCGTGATATAACCGGCGCCAGGAGATGCTAGAAGTCCGGCTACTTGTCGGTCGAAAGCTTATCCGTCAGATTATTAGTTTCCAATACTTAGTATCGCATAAACTGTTGAACAAACCTTGCAACTCTCTGGACCGCCTCATCTCATTGACAAGCATATAAAGAGGATCCAAACAGCCGAGTCCGTATTCCACCTCCTGGAGTTTCCGAAGGATGAGTTTGTTATCTTGGTCCATCTCCTCAATTTTACGCCTTAAATCATCCATCTTCCCGTGCGTCTGGTGTATTTGGCCGCCAACGAGTCTGATATCTGATCGAATTACATGCTGATTTGATCGCACTGCACTGAGCTCTACATGACTTGCTCGTATGACCTTAGAGTCTTCAGCTTGTCTTTTGGTGACTGAGCTGGTGGCAGTTTGTTCAAGCTTTCTTTTCGCAACAACGACAGGTTGTAAGACATTCTCTACCTCGGCAACAGCATCTCCGAAGATAGACCTTCCGAGGTCTTTATAAATCTTATCTAGAAATGATCAGTATATATTCAACATTTCTTGAATGGCGGCATCTCATCATTATGGGCACACACATGGTTCGTCGCCTTTTCGGAGGAGAATATCGATTAGCGAAGGCATTGCGTAGACAACAGCGCTACAAAGATCTTCGATCCGTCGAGAGAGTACATCCTCTTGTGGAAATGACCTTCGAAGCTCCTGTGCTTGAAGTATGAGCTCCGGAATGGATTCGAACGAGGCGAAGATTCTCTCGCAAGCTTGCGAACGCCTCTTGACTGCCTATCTTGGTATTAGTCTATCCTATAATGGTGGAAACCAAGAGCGTACGTTAAACAATAACGCCAGCGCGCCTCTCAAAACTCCCATACCATCATCATTTGGTATCGCCTCCAGTAATGGGCCGAAATTTCTAGATAAAGCCTCGCCATGGCGGAACGCCCTCCGAAAGGGGTTCCCTTCTGCTTTGACTTTGTAAGTTGTCCTAGCATTCTCAAGTTGGTCAAATAAATTATCCCATGTGCAACGCTCCAGGTCAAAATCAAATCGTTGCTGTTTATTCTCTTGAATGTATCTGCTCAATGCATGTCGCATTTCCCTAATCGCTATCAGCTCGTGGCTCAGGTGTTCACTGAAACTATAAGGCTTACTCTTCCCCCCCTTTAGCCACATACCGGACTCTCTGTCTGTCATATCGAGCGTCAGTTGCAAGTGCAGATTTAAAAGCACCGTGCTCTGGCTTGGTGAGTCTCCAATTGTCAAAAGCGACAATCTCTCGATCATTGCTCATCCGTTTGACCAAAGTTGGCGGCAGATCCTGTCTTTCTAGCGAGCTATCCATCGCTCAAACCTGTTGCTAACAGAGTTGAGAGGTCGGTTGTTCGATATCATTCTGAGATATCTCCGCTACTTTTGAATCAATATGATGTGTCATCACTGGATGTGCCTTGCTAGGAGGCGATGCTTCCAAATGGCCCCCAACTCTACTCCATGTCACAATGCATGCCCCTCGTTCTTGTTCCCAGCGAGCTGAAAAGCCGGCTGTATGATCCTTCAGAACTCGCCCAATCAACGAAAAATGCAATGCTACACAACGTTTCGCTTCGCTCACTGCCCCGACAATATGCAGCGAATCAATCTTTCTTTAGCTAGGAGAGATGCGGGCTATGCTTGAGGCTCTATGACATTGCCATGTCTCATTCATACTCAAGCACAGGAACATTTTTGCCACGGATTTTCCAAATTGATAAACTGTCGCTCAACGACATCTAGTCCTGTCTAGTTCAGATTTCTTTGCCCCTCAGATCACGTCTACGAGACCTGCTAGACTTCGTTTCTATAATCCCGATTCTCCTACGTCGTACATGTCGCAAGCTTAACCGCTCACCAGTATGTCCAACGTTGATGACCCAAACTTTGAACAGGAGGCCGGCAATAGTACATCGAATGTACAGCCCAGTCTAGCGCAGGAAGAGATCCATGAAGACCAGACACAAGTGGAAACTCACGTAAACCTCCAAGATGATCAAGCCGATGAAGGCGTCGATATGACCTCTGATGATGGCCTGGCCGTTGTGCCTAGCGCCAACAATGATAATGATACTAGCGAGCTCAGGCCGACAATTGAATCGCCTGGTACGGATCAGAGGGATGTACAGGTCTACAGAGATCATGAGGACGAGCCAGGACCGTCATATCAGCGTAACGCTGGGCGAAACAACCGCTATAGTATGCCTGCCGGAAGTCATACCTACGAAGAGGAAGATAGTCTCCAACCGCCAGCACTTGGTCGGATCCAGAGCGAGACAGGCACCGCACCCACACATGGCTACGGTGACACACGACATCTTGATGGAACAGTCATGTTCTCATGGATCAAGGACATTGAATCTCGTATTGTCACCATTGAGGAGAACAAGAAGCGGGAGGAGAATGAGGCTCTTGAGAGAGCAAAGCCGGACAATTTAGAGGAGCTAATGCTTCAAATGGAATCAGAAGTAAGAGACTGCAACTGGGAACAGTTCAAGAATCGATACTCGGAGCCGGAGGCTCGGTATGCTATCGAGACCCTCGTTGCGAGTGACGACCTCGCTGGTGAGATGGAAGCTGAGCAATTGAACCGCATATCACCTGCTAAGAGGAGACCTTACACGCTGACTCCACGGAAGCCAGTCCGCCAGACACAGACAGGGAAGACCAAAGACCAGCGCTTGGAGCGTGTTCGAATCAATTCAGCAATTGTTCTCGCCTATTTGGCCAAGGTGACGGGACAATTTTCATGGTCTAAGAAACCGCACACCTTCTTAAAGCCATTCAAGGTTCTAATCCATTACCACGATAAGATGGAACATGAGTTTCAGGAACTCGAGAAGAAGTTTGGAGGTTCGCAAGAAAGTACTGCAGAACCGCCGAAAGAGCCTGAAGAGGAGAACGAAAACAGCAACCAAGCATCAGTAGACAAAGGAAAAGCAGTGGACGATGAGGTTGCCATTAGCTCAGAGCCACATGATAATCGCCCTCCAACTACAGCACCTATCGAGGTTCCGCCATCAGACGAACTGCCCCAATCTCAAGAAGCAACAATAACGCCACAAGAGGTTAGCGAGGAGAAGCCGTTGACTACTGATTATGAGGAAATACTGAGAGACGCTATGGATAGCAAGAAAGGTTACGAAGATATGAGGTGTTACATGGATTTTGCTAGGAGTCGATTACTTACATTATACCACGCCTTCGACAAAGCTGACTATGACCACCCTGCCAAAATTCGTTTCGATGATATTTGGTCCTTGTTCCGGGTCGGGGAGCTGGTTTATCAGCGAACCGACGCTGGAACGGACGTGGCTCAACCTGGCTCGGACGGTCCTCGTGCTCCCCAAAACGCCCCCAGACTTTTCAGAATCTACTTCACGTGGCAAGATATTCCATATTGGATTGTTGAAGATCTGGAGACCAACGATGCCAAGCTGCGTCGAGATGCCGACTTTGAGCCTGGGGACACTCGTGTAGCCTGCTACTATATCGACTACGATGGTAAATCATACGGTGGCGTACCGCATCTCTTCGACATAGAGCCGTATGAAGGCGAGAAAGACATCACCAAGCTTCCTATATATCCGATCAGGTTTGCAAAGGATAGCGAGAAGATCCTTAAAGACCTCAAGGAGCGTGGCCAACGATTCACAGAGTTCATCTCTAAGAAAGATCGCGCTCTAGCGCACAACGGGTGGACGTTGACCATTGACCCTGCAGGAGATGATATTGAAGATGGTTCAGGAAATTCTATCAGATTCCCGCAACACATCGATAGTGACGTGGTCATCGATTTTCAAGAAGCATACCAGGCCAATCCCTGGTGGAAACCGAACTTCCCGAAGTTCGTGCCCGGTCAATATAGACCTGTGAACTTAATTGACTCGTTTGCCGTTATCCAATGGTCTGGTAAGGACAGATACGAACCTATTACCAAAATAGAAGAGGTGGTTGTCTCGGTAGATGATGTCTATCGTCTCGAGTGGAACGCTTTTGCTGCAACAGACGAGTTCATAGTGGAGCAGGATGACCGGCGAGATCACGATGATACCAAGCAAGAAGTAGTTAAACAGGATCTATCGGATGAAGATCTCGCGCTTCTTCCCTCACGACTATTCGTGTATGCCCTCAGGGAGCGAAAATTCGTCAATGCAGACATCAAGTGCCTTAAGCCGATCAAGCCACTGGAGAGACCGTTTGACAACTTGAAGATTGAGGAGAAGCACAAAGAGATGATACAGTCTATTGTATTTGAGCACTTTGAGAAGAAGAAGTTGCAAAAGAAAGCGGCTGACACGAACCGCGAGCTCTCGGACCAGGACTTCATCCGAGGTAAGGGAAAGGGGCTTGTGATACTGCTTCACGGCGCTCCCGGCGTGGGCAAGACGGCCACAGCTGAAGCTCTATCATACGTCTATAACAAGCCTCTCTTTCCTATCACGTGTGGTGATCTTGGAATCGAACCTGAGGACGTTGAAGAGAACTTATCAGAGATCTTTCGGTTAGCCAATTTGTGGGATTGCATGTTGTTGCTCGATGAAGCTGAGATCTTCCTCTCGCACAGAGAGAAGAAGGATGATAACCTGCAAAGGAATGCTCTCGTTTCGAGTATGTCGTAACCTGATGTGTTGATATGCAAACGCTAACGAGGTTATTCCCAGTCTTTTTGAGAACCTTGGAGTATTATGGAGGCATACTGTTTCTCACTACTAATCGAGCAGGAACTTTGGATGAAGCTGTGAAATCTCGTGTGCATATCAGCCTGCACTATCGAAGTCTAGGCATGAAAGAAACAATTGCCATCTTCAAGCTCAACCTGAATCGTCTCAGTATGATCGAGAAGGAGCGGGCCGCTATCAATGACGAAGAGGAGTTCGAAGTCAGGAATGAAGAGATTGAAGCATTTGCCATAGACCATTTCGAATACAATCCTGATACGCGATGGAACGGCAGGCAGATCCGAAATGCTTTCCAAATGGCGCAGTCATTGGCCCATTACCAGCATCATATCAAGCCCACTGGACAGAAGCCTTACATAGGCAGGGAGCACTTTCAGAACATTGCAGATGTCTCTGTTGAGTATGACAGATATAGACATGATATGTTTGGTGGAACAGACCAAGAGCTTGCCCTGAAAAGAGAGGAGCGTGGCAGGGACTATTCACCCAGACGCCGGCATGATGGCCATAACAGCTATAGGGGCGATCATTACCCTGGGTACGACTCACGACCGCACCGCGCTCCTCCCGCCAACCCTCAACACCACCAGCCGCCGTACCATCATCACCAGCGACGGCATGTGTCTCCGACACCTCCTCGCGGACAACCTCCCATACAGCAGGAATACAGCAGACGGTCACCAGATTCGCGCTCGTTCACACCTACACCAGTTGCACAACAGCCGACACCAACATCTTCATACAACTCATCTCAGGCCTCTCTTCCTGTAGAGCACAGTGCCAGGCGACCCAGAAGCTCAGGTTACGATTTTGACGATCAAGGTCCTGCAGGTAGTCAAGACTCTGACGCTGCGGAGTATGGATACCGTAGCCATCGCGAGCCCCCAGCAAGAGAAAGGCGTCAGTATGGCGATTACGACCCTCGTTCCTCATATGGGATGGATTAAGTAATAGTCACTATGAATGACTGGAAATATTCGATTGGGAGCTTGGTGGAAGATTGTCGCCAGAAGTACCTAAACAGCAAAGAATAACACCACCACTGAACTCATTTGTACATTCAGCCTTTGCTCGCATAGAGTGCCTTTTCTTCACGTAAAAGCCGTCCATGTGATAAGTAATCATAGTATTATTTTCATTTATATACTCCCACCTAAGACACCGTGCGATGCTACCTTTTGCAAGCACGCCTCGTCCACCCATCCTGTGGAGAAGGATGATAGAATAGGGCCCAGTTGCCCTGCGGCTGCTCCCAAGCGCCAGGCTTGCAAGAGAAACTCTGACAGGGCATAAGGGGTTGATATATACATAGTTTGAGAAAAGAACCAAGCGAAGGTCCTGTGGTATCTGATATTACCTCCGCTGACAATTTTTGGACATATTCGCGCCAGGACTCGATGGTCTGACGTTGTCAAGCCATATAGTGTGTAAGTTAAGTTGACCAAGAAATATTTCACGTCCCTGGCCGCCTTGGAGTCTCCCCGTCGTCCATCATCATTGTCATTTCCGGCTCCGGAGGAGGATTGTGCACACCGGGTATCGGCATATCTGGCACTGGGGGAATCTCTTCATCCGCTCTCTGTTCTGCTCGTCGTACGCGTCCGGTCTGCTGGTTTACCCACGAGTTCACGCTTCTGAAACGAGGCGGAGAGTCCTCGCTGCTCTGTGTATAAACAGTATCGCGGTTAGTGCCGTTGCCCGAACTCTTGCGGCTCATCCAGCTGAAGCGGCCGACATAGTTGTTTGACTGCCTTAGTGCCTGGGAAGCAGGCTGGGGAGGTCGAATATATGTCTCAGGTATGATGATGTCTCCATCACCGAAGCCTGAGGAGAGAGAGGATAGTTCTGATGCTCTGTTGACCTGTCTTCTTGCTGGGTCATAGGCATCTGATGGTTGCCGCGCTAGTTCTGATTGGTTGTAGAAAGCGTCAGGCATGCGGGAGCGAATTGTCAGATTTGGATCTGTTTGCATAGTGCCCATAAACTGCGCCGCGTTGATTGAACTGAAAGATTCCCCTGCTTGGTGAGAGTATCCAGTGTTTGCTGTGAGTGACCGGTTGAGAAGGGTCTGTCCTGGTGCAATTTCAGGTAAGAAAGCCATCTGAGATTGTGCTTGCGGCAGAGGCTTTTCAGGTGCGGATGCATAGTACTCTTGAGCTTGTAGAGTTGCCGGCTGCCTCTTCTCTCTATAGCTAGGCGGTGCTCCTCGCAGGTCAATGGAACCGTTGTCACCCAGACTGTCCCATTGCGTTTGCCGTCGTCTTGCAATCCAGGGAACCTTGTTCAAGAATCTATCGGTACGCGTATAAGGATTGCCACCATTTGCGGCAATTCTCTTCTTTGACTTCTTCATCGTCCTCCAAACGATCCATGTGATGAAACACACCAGGATGAATGCTCCTATTTCGCAAAGTCAGCTTCGCTACTGTGATACCGCATCGAAGACCTGCTTACCAATGGACCCAGCAGATATGAGTAAGTGCTCTGCTGTCTGTGACATCCCACCATTCTTGTCGCCGTTATTGTCGTTATTACCATTGCCATCTTTATTTCTGTGTCTCTCACCCCCATCTCCATGCTTATTGCCGTCTCCACTGTTGTCCGCCGGGGCAGTCGGTGTTGTATTGGCGAGGGCAGTTGGGAAGATTGTCGTAGATGACTCGGTTATGGAGAAAACAGGCGTTGGAGAAAGCTCTTCCGGTTCATCAACACCTTTCCTAGGCTGTGAGTTGACCGGGTCCGTCGGGAGTCCAGTCGATTGAACGGAGACGAGGCTTGTCACGGCGGGATTCTGGGCCTGGAAATCGGTCAGCACCTCACTAATCCTTCTGATATATGATTCGACTTACAATTGGCGTCGACGCGTCGGGAAACACCGTTGACATGACAACAACGGTAGTTGGCGACATTGTGACGGTAGCAGGCTCAACCGTGACCGTCTGAGGATCTGCCGGTGGCGGAACACTGGTTGTCGCTGGAGGTAACGCTGCTGGGGGTGGTGTTGAGAGTTGAGGATTAACTACCACAGCTGGTGGTGGTAGTGCAGACGAATTGTTTCCCGATTTCGTCTTGTTGTCGTCGTCATCGTCAGTATCATCGTCGTTGTTCTTGCTTCGGCCATTTCCAGAGTCATCATTATTCTTGTTGTTGCTCTTGCCTCTTCCCTTGCCATCTCCACCGCCGCCGTCTCCTTTCCCTCCACCTCCTCCGCCATTTCCTCCTCCTCTTCCCTTTCCACTGCCGTTTCCATCACCACTATCGTTGCCGTCTCCGCGGCTTTTATTGTTGAATCGCCCCTTTCCTTTTCGGGAGCTGCTGTTGTCATCGTCATCGTCATCGCTATCGTCTTTTCGTCGAACAAGAGAAGCAGACAATCCCGGCAGTGGCCTCAACTCGGCTTGCCGCCGCCTATCCGCTAATGGTGCCATGCCCTCTCCTGACAGCATCCTATTCGTACCAGACGAGAACTACAATGGCGTTGTCTTTCAACATTCGTGAAGACGAAGCCTCATCAAGCATGTAGGTGTCTCCCATTTGCCATTAATAGGGAAACGTTCACCGAGAACATGTACGTGAATGAAAGTAAAGGAACGGATACCTCGACGAGGCAAGTAAAAGGATGTTTAGAAAAGAAAACGCTTCGAGGAAGACGTATCAACAAGAAATGAAGATGGTGGAAAGGCCCGCCTTGAAGGAGAAAGAAGAGAAAGAAGAAAAGAAGGTACCTGAGACCAGCAAGTAAAGGGAAGAGGGAGTATGTAACAGGCTAGACCAAGGTGGACAGGGAAGGGAGAGCGAGACCTTCCCACGGTGCGTCAGGGATGATGGATGGTACGAGGCTTCGAGTTGGATGGATGGCACTGACGTGAGGGAGGCACCGCTTGTGTGGAAGGTAGGCTTCCGGATTCCCCAGATGCTGCAGCCAGTAGGTTGTCCCAAGGGTTCAAGGGGATGAAGGAAGCACTGCTTCTCTCCGGACTGTTGCTGCTCGAACAGGAAGGGAGAGGCAAGCTTGTTCACAAACCATGCAACCATCGATCTGCCGGGCAGCACGAGGGATCTCTCAAGCATTGCCCGAGCGAGAAGTTGCCTCGCAAAGCGTGCAGCAGCATTGCCTTGGGCTGGCAAATGGGACGCTCGCTGTGTGCCTCGCCGCAAGATGAACCAGGGCTTCCCGTGCCAGCATAACCATGTAGGAGATCATTCCAGGGACAATTCGACTGGGGAGGGCCATTCTTGGTGGAGAACTGGCCGTCGAGCATAGCGAAAGTGCACAGCTGAGTGCGAAGGCGTAGGGAGGACGGGCGCGGTGTCATGTGGGCTCATTTTGCCTAGGTTTCGGTGAGGGGTCTCCTGCTGGGGTGCTTCCACCAAGCAGTTGAGGACTTGGGTGGTGTTTTGGTGGTAGGCATTGAAGCAGGTCGTAGTCTTGCGACAGACTGTGGCCTCTGCGGAGGCGTTGGAGTGTCTCATCATGGGCAGAGCTGGTTTCAAGTTCGGGGCCGGCAAAAATGCCTACCAACGTTCGCGGCCCTGGCCCCACTTTCTCGCCAGGGGCCGATGCGTGGCTCGGAAAATTGGCGCGAGCCGGAATACCCCTGCGGCTCTTGCGCGATGTCGAATTGACGAATGGCAGAGACTCTAGGCCGGACGTTGTGAGAGCCAGAAACTGGCCTCCCCTTGCCTTGCTTGAAGATCGTCAGCAATGAAGAATGGATGGAGGGGCGGATAGTCGGGAAGACCAGGCGCAAGCCACATCTTGAAAGTGATAACGGTGCCATCACGACTCTCTACTTGCTACATTTCGACACTTCAGCTATGCACAACAATCATCATGAGCCGGCTCTTTGCCTAATATCATTCCGGAAACGACATGCGTTTAGTTCTCTCCTTTCCATCCATTGTCTTCCCAAGGTTCAGACCTCACATCATGATAAGAATGCTCCGACTTGTGCTTTACGAAGGAAACAGGTTTACCATCTTCACTTACCATTTGTTGATACCAAAGCCTCCCTCCGTGTATCTTGGCGGTCATGTCGATCAAGCAACTTCAAAAGAGCTTGATGCTCTCCCATCAATCAGTCCAGTTTCCCAAAGCTTGACCCCCCATCACACAGACCCCCAACTGATGCGCAACTTGGTGCAAGCCATCGGATATCGGCTCCTTCCCCTTACTCTTGGCCTGTAGGCAATCCCGTACCCTGATCCTGGCCTTGAGCAAGGGACCGGGCATCTCCTTTCTCTCCTGTCTGCTATGCGCAAACACAACAGATCCGGAATTCGGCAACCCCCTTTCCTGGGTGTGTTGAAGCACTCCTAGACAGCGATGCTTGGGTCTCGGAAGACTGAGGTGAGCTTTGCGTCTCATTGAGTCGTTGTGGTAGATGAGCACGCGACACTTAAGATTCGATCCTTGTAACCTTGATTCTCCGGATGCTCTCGAAGCCTTGCTTTCTTCTTCGGAACCATCTAGACATTGAAAGTGGTAGGTTGCACTTCAAACTGACAAGCCTAAGGATTCGGTAGGGTTTTACGCCAGGAGCAGCGGGGACTTCGAAGCCGGATTCCTCGAGGAGAACTTTTCGTCGGCCATCATCATCAGTCCCCAGGGAGCCCTTGAGAAAGTGTTGGATATCTTTATTTTGATACTTATTGTGTGATTTTTACTTTTCTAAGCTTTAGTGCTCGAGTAATGCTGAGTTACGGCTAATTACCCCATACTTGGCATACCAATCCAATTCTCATTACCGAGACTCTCCGGGCACCGTAGCAGTCCCATTGAGCGTACGGGCAAAGAAGTCAAGCTGGAGAAGACCAGATTAAAAAAGAAGCCTGCATCATCACTTGGAAAATAAATTACCAAATAGCTCATGAGTTGGAGATTACAGCATGAAAGGTAATTGGACAGAAAGTATGGCTACTCTGCTAGAGGCATCTCCATTTGCGGGGGACGCCGAATTGCCTCGCCCAATTGACTTTCATGGTCAAGTGCCTCAAGCCACCAACATACAAGGTGTTGATAAGTAACTCTCCAGTATCTCTCCCACTCACCGTAAATCAAGCCAAGCGTCTTGCTTCGAGATCTTGAGCCTCAATAAGGCACTGGTCAATGGAGCAGTTCTTTTTTCGTGAGTCATATGAATAATCCACAATACAAGACACGCAGACTTCGCCTCGGTAAATCCACACAAACCTAGAGATCTTACCTCAAGCTCTCAGCAACAGCAGCGTATCCGCCTAAGCCCACTACTCGCTGCCAAACATGAGCATTCAGATCTCACGTCTCACAGAAGCCGACATTCCCGGTGTTGTCAAGGCCATCCAGTAGGTCAGACCCTGCTAAGCTTTTTGTCCGATCAACCTTAGACCTGAGGTGCTTGTGCTGAAACAGCCTTGGCGTTATCTTGTCCGACACAAGCATCTCGCGTCCCTTCCTCTGCAGCTTCAGGAAGACAGACCACTATTCAGTAGACTTTGCCAATGCTGACGCAATTACTATTTTCTTAGGGAAGCCTTTGACAATGACCCGTACAACAATTGGGTCTTTGATAAATCTAAGGTTGGTGAACTTGCCTTGGTCATTCTTTGGCCATCTCCACCTATACGTTTTGCTTCGTAATGCCCTGTTTCAACTCCTGACATGCGCCGCACTCAAGTCCAAGTGGACTCACTCACTCATGGCGCGTCGGCATAGACGGCCTGAGCCGAAGTCTGGGGAGCGCGGCCGCATTCTATCGGCGACAGAAAGGAGACGTTTCGTTCCCACGACCACCACCCCCCCTTTTGCATGGACAACTGCCGTCGCTCGTCGGGCCGTTTCAAAACACTGAACGCGTGACATTCTCCGCTTTCTGGAATAGATGGCTTACGCGGTGTCTTCACTATAGTTCAACGCGCAACGAAATGCCGTCTCCTTGGGCATTCGCTGCAATTGGGGCATTCGCAATGCCATGTTTTACGTGGCCAAGGAGGAGGGCAACGACAAGGTGCTAGGGGTCTCGATGTGGTTGCCCCCTCAGAAAGCCGGCGAGAAACAGTCATGGGGCGATTGGTTTGAAGGCTGGAGGATGTGGTTAGAGCAGGTGGGAATGAATCTTTGGTATGGCCGCGGCGGACTGAATGTGAAGGTGAGTAAATGATATCCAGCTTGACCGTGTGCGTGTGCGCCGATGTGGGACCGTCGCTCGCGGTAGCCGATCTCCGTCGTGCTGGCAGTACATCGTGAGCCGTAGGGTTGGCGCTTGGCTTCATATCCCGACCACGGCTTGTCTTTTCGATTCCCAGTGGTATGCTAATGCCACACCTAGCGCTACTACATCTGGAAAGATGCCCAGAAAAAGGCACAGGAAATTGTCTGGACAGACCCAAGAGGCTACTACTTCCTCAACATCATGGTCGTCATCCCCGAAGCCCAAGGCAAGGGAATCGGCAAGAAGCTGGTAACAGTTGTCACAGACAAAGCTGATGCAGAGGGCATGAAATGCTACCTGGAGTCAAGCAAAGACAAGCCAAACATGCAAATATACGAGCGGATGGGGTTCAAGTTTGCTGAGGCTCTTGATTGCGATGATAATGGAGCCGTGTGCAACCTATTTTGCATGGTTCGTGAGCCGAAGCCAATGTGATTGGCCCTTCAGGCCGGAAGGTTCTTGGACGACACGGAGGAAGTGCCGACGCAGGAATCCAGGGACAGAAAAAAGTCCTCAGTATTAGCGTTCTGGGCGTGTGACCCGGGCAATGCTATCATTATACACCTGATTAGAATCGGAGGCATTGGCGATTGAACGGGATGGGTGTCGGGTTCGGCTTCACGGAGCAGGCCTCGAGCAAAACACAAGAAACTCCAGGGTCTCAATGGTCAAGGGCGGTTCGGAGACGCTGCCGTAGCCGTTGCGGCGACGTACGAGATCCGATGCTATCTGCTCCTGACGGCCTAAAGGCTAAAAGGAGACGGTGGACGGGGTTCTGGCCCGCGACTGGGGAATTCTTCTAGCTCTTGACGGTGTAGCTCACGAAAATAAACTAGCGATGCAAAAGTGTGGCAGTTCTTCGCGGTGCATAGAGTTACCTAAACAAGATAGAGGGAACAAGCGGCCCAATGAGAGTTCGCATGTAGTAACTTGTGAAGTGGGTTCGGTATCAACTCCGTTTCCCCGTGCTGAGAGCTACCTTCCGGCCGACGGCCGTGCAGCAGACCGTGGATTTTGTGAAGCGCCCACCGGCGGTGTTTCGGGTGACTCGGGATTCCGCCGGGGTGACAGTCAACCTTTCATTCAACAAGGTGTTGTGCTGTAAACAGAATGGAAACTGTTGCTTTCGTAGTTGTGAGTCAACAAGGAATATGTTATACAGAAGTCGGTTTATATGCAGATGCTGGAATGGCAGTAATTGACTGGAGTCAGATCATTGGTCTCTTCACATGCCCTAATGCGGTCTCCCTTCACATGTGAGGGGAGGGTAGGTGTGTGGCTTGACCTTGATACCCGGAGGACGGGATAAACAGGAAGGACAACCAACAGCAGGAATATCGCCAGCTTCATGCAATCGCCACGCTCGAGTCCCACGCGGGATTTCCCTCGTTGAGACTCTTGACCATGTAGCTCCTGGGCTCCTGGGCACGGCAGGGGCATTCGGAAGAAGCCTATCAGCACGACAGGTTTCACAAGTACAGCACTTCCCTGCCGCAAAATACCTCGTCTCAGCTGAGGCTTATGTGCACATGATGATTCTTATAATCACTCAATTGAGGAATAAAGTAAACAATAGACTCAATATGACCAACTTCCTGACTGTGAGAGACCCGTAAGAAATACCAAGGCCGTGGAGCGCGCGATGCTCAGACTCTAAAGGAATTGCGTATCAGATGAAGGTCTCCACCAGACCCAGCCGTCGCATCTGAAGCGGCTGGAGCCAAGGGCCCGCTTACAGTAGACTAGTTAGTGCCTCGTAGCTTTGCATGCGCGAAAAACGCCGAGCTCTCTAGCTGGGATGGATTTGGAGTAACATGAAAAAAAAGTTAAGTCGGGTCCCCGTCATCTCACCAATTTGACTGCACCAGGCTGCGCCGGGCCTTATCATCTATCCCCATTGCTCATTCCAATCCCTTCAACCTCCTTTCCCATCCTTTTCTCCACGCTCGTTCCCTCACGGCTTTCCTCTTGCGATACCCTCTGCCTCTCTTCATCGCCCGCTGAAGTCATGGCTTCCTCCGCGCGAGCTCTAGGGAGATTCGCGAACCCTCAATTGGGTGTCGCACGTCTCCAAACTTCGGCCTCGTCCCGGTTGCTCTCGACGTCATCCCGTTTGACCACGGCCACAGTTCGCCAGAGTTTGAACACCAGGATAAGACCGACAACGCGTCAAGCTGTGAGGCTCTACTCAGATGCGCCATCGGCGACCCTGACTCCCCCACCGAAAAAGCCTCGCAAGTTCCGAACCACGATCAAGTGGACATGGAGGTTAATGTACCTCTCGGTGCTGGGAGGCATTGCCTGGGTCGGCTATGGAGTCTACCAGGACAGACACCCGTTGCCCCAGAGCGACCCCGACCCGACTAAGAAGACCCTGGTGATTCTAGGTATGCAAATGGAGCTTCATTGGGCACAATTGCAACAACGACTGTATGACTAACATCGGTATGCTAGGTACTGGCTGGGGCTCAGTCTCCTTGCTCAAGAACCTCGACACGGAGAACTACAATGTCGTCGTTATCTCACCACGCAACTACTTCCTCTTCACGCCTCTTCTCCCGTCATGCACCACCGGTACCATCGAGCACCGTTCCATCATGGAGCCTATCCGGACAATCCTCCAGCACAAGAAGGCCACTGCCAAGTTTTACGAAGCTGAGGCTAGCTCAATCGACCCGGAGCGCAAGGTTGTCAAGGTCAGAGATGAGTCTGACATCAAGGGCACTGTGACCGAGACCGAGGTGCCTTACGATATGCTGGTCATCGGTGTTGGTGCTGAGAACGCGACCTTTGGTATTCCTGGCGTGCGAGAGCACACTTGCTTCTTGAAGGAGATCGGTGATGCCCAGCTCATTCGCAAAAAGATCATGGATTGCGTTGAGACGGCTGCATTCAAGGACCAGGCTCCCGAGGAAATCGACAGACTGCTTCACATGGTTGTCGTTGGTGGTGGTCCCACTGGTGTCGAGTTTGCTGGCGAGCTCCAGGACTTCTTTGAGGAGGATATCAAGAGACTGATCCCCGACATCAGCGACCGCTTCAAGGTGACGCTGATTGAGGCGCTCCCGAACGTTCTCCCCTCCTTCTCTAAGCAGCTCATCGAGTACACTGAGAGCACTTTCAAGGAGGAGAAGATCGATATCAAGACCAAGACTATGGTCAAGAAGGTCACTGATAAGACTGTCGAGGCTCAAATGACTACACCAGACGGCAAGAAGGAGACCATTGTGCTGCCCTACGGTCTGCTCGTTTGGGCCACTGGAAACGCTGTCCGTCCCATTGTCAAGGATCTCATGACTCAGATTCCCGCTCAGAAGGACTCTCGCCGCGGCCTCGCTGTTAACGAATACTTGGTTGTGCAGGGCACCCGCGACATCTGGGCTGTCGGTGACTGCGCCGTGGCCGGATACGCACCCACTGCTCAAGTCGCCTCTCAAGAAGGCAACTTCCTCGCCCGTCTGTTCAACAACATGGCCAAGACCGAGTCTCTCGAGGAGAACATCCGCGACCTAAGCGCTAATCTTAACTTGAAGCCTGGTAACGCCGCCGAGGTTGCCAAGCAGATTGAGGAACAGGAGCGCCAGCTCCGTCGCATCAAGGACATCAAGCCGTTCCACTACTCTCACCAGGGTAGTTTGGCGTACATTGGAAGTGAGAAGGCTGTTGCTGATGTTAGTTGGTTTAACGGAAACTTCGCATCTGGTGGTAGCTTGACATATCTGTTCTGGAGGAGTGCTTACTTGTCAATGTGCTTCAGCAGTAAGTTTTTCCCTTCTACATATTATCTGCGAGAACTTCTACTAATCAGACTGCAGCTCGTAACCGACTCCTGGTGTTGAATGATTGGTTGAAGTCCAAGCTGTTTGGACGTGATGTGTCACGAGAGTAAGAGCTGTAATATGAAATATCACGGGGACAAGAGCCACTACGGGCTTGACTTCAGCGGGGCGACAGAAGATTTCACCTTGAACCACTAAAGTCCTTCCTTTCTAGGAGTCGAGGGCACTAATAGACATACGGGGGATGAAACGGTTTTACGGATAGACTGGGTAGATTGGGCGGCGGACAAAATAGGTTTGCCCCTTTCATTGTACTTGTATATGACGAATTGAATAATTTTCATCAATACATGACGTCGACTTTGAAGCTATGTTGATAGTAAAGCGCCATGCAAACTATGCGTAATCTCAACAGCCTCCGCGCCGATCCGTTAGGTCTGAAGTCCTTGACTTCTATCAGATGGCAGAGCCTCTACAAAAACCTTCAAATGGTTCCTTCTCGTCAGCGTCATCGAATTGCGCGACTCAACCGAGATCAGGTAAGCTTGCTTACCGCTCGGTGCTAATATTTCTCGCGGACTGTCAAACGTCCCGAAACTTCTGAAGAGTCTCTTCAACTTCCAATCCTCATCTCTCATCGCGCATAGTTGTGTCTGCCTTCTCCATCTCCCTGTCCAACCACTCTGTCGTTTGCCTTTTCGTTCTCCTGGATCTTAAAATGGTGTGAAGAAGGAGACTGAATATTATTGAAAACCAGACACATATAGGTGAATTGCTCTCTAAACCATCCATACTTAAGCGTCCCTCTGTTGACCACGTATAGAGTATTCCTAAGATTGTCCCCGTTGCGACTATTCTACTTTGGTATCGATCGTTTGGTCGGGCTGCACACACAGCAGCTGTCGAAACACCGAAAAGAAGAAGCATCCCGCCTCTTATTGAAGGGCTCGGTCGCCGTAATGCATCAAATGTTATACTCATTTCTGCCTCGTGAGCCTAAAATGACTGTCAGCATCTACAACGATGATTTCAACCCGAAACTTGGAGTGGTTTACTCTTGTATTCTGACAGCTGTCGCTTTTTAGCCATCGTCCAAAGGTTGCGAATGTCTGATATAAATAGAGTGCCCTTGGTTCTCTGGTTGCCCATAAATATGAAGAGCTAACTACCAGATTGCAGTGACAGCAATACCATAACCAGACTAATCTCCTCACGGCGGACTCGTCGAGCGGAGTCGAGGTCGAGGTCGTCTTCGTCATCTTGAACTGAGGGCAGCATTAATCGATCTTGAAAACCGACACTGGCTAGGTGGTTGTTGCAGTTTACTTAGATGTGAAATATGGTGAGGTATCTGAGCACGAGTAAATCCAGATTGCTAAAGGAATTCCAGTGAGGCAGACCATGCGGCCGATCTGAAGGTGCTCATTTGCCAGCGACAAGGCATGATGAGGCATTTCACCGCCTGATGTTGACGCAGATTTGAGGCAGCCTCATCACAGGCTAGTCGTATCTCACAACTGATTCGTTAGCCGATATGCAGCCACCTAATACGCAGACAACAACCAGCACAATTATTGGCCACGAAGTTCGTCTCAAACCCACGAGGCTTTTCGCGAAATGGTTCGCCATGGGGCTCTTCATCGCCAAATGGTCCGCCAAATGGTTCGCCCGAAGACTGAGCCTCCCGCCATGTTTCTTCGCAGCCTAGCCAAGTTGCAGTACTCGATATTCGCACCCCTTCCCTGCGTACTTTGCCTTGCGTAGGTATACATGATATTCGGCGAACCATGCGGACCATCTAATATGAAAAATTGGCGTTATTGTACATTTGCCATCGTTCTTCGTCCTCCCCTCAACTCACCGGGTGGACACCTCAGAAGTGGCCACGGATCTTCACGTTCATAATTAATCTCAGAAGATAACTCCCCTCCTACACCACTACATATCATACTAAACTTATACACTGCCATCGAGCTTGTTCTTCTAATGCTGAGGGGATCTCGTCTGGAAACGTCCTAGACGAAAGGCTAGACTTCTGGAATTTCGCTTTCTATCCCCTGCGCAAAGCCCACTCGCAGTACATGCCACATCGACGTGAGAATCAACTTCTGCACCTCAAGTCTTCAAGCTAATCGCAGATTATTTGACAGACAATGGACTTGTCTTCTAAGTTTTTGAAGTATAGAAGGCAGGCACGCGTCGTTCAGTCTCCAGAGGAAGCACTCGAACATACGCAGCCTAAGCCTTCCAGCGAAACATTCCATGAATCTCAGGGCGATACCTCATGCAAGAAGGACTTCAAATCTCCCGGCGGAGCTGTGAAACCGCAGACATGCGACCGCATCGTACCGAGCCCAACAAGATCACGCGCGAGATCAAGTGCTTGGGAATTTACGAGATCAAACTTACCAACCAGAAATCTCAAAAACAGCAATGTCTGGGAACATGGTGTATCATCTACGAACACAGAACATAGGGCCGCCGCTTCTAAAATAACTCAGCCTTTGATGAAAACCCGACAAACTAATCCAGACGATGATCCCGAGCTCGAGTCGCTGATAAAACAGCCCGAATCAAGGCCTATAAGTCAAGAACAACTAGTTGCTGAAGTCAAGGGCATATACGCTGGCTTGGTGATGGTAGAGAGCAAATGCATCGACATTGACAACTCCCAAAGCGCTCAGAACGATAGCTCTCCAAAGCTGAACAACGAACAGTGGCAGGCATTAACTGCCTTACACCGTACTCTCCTCCATGAGCATCATGACTTCTTCTTGGCCTCGCAGCATCCCTCTGCCTCACCTGCACTTCGCAGGTTAGCTTCCAAATACGCTATGCCCGCACGTATGTGGCGGCATGGTTTTCACTCCTTTCTGGAACTACTACGACATCGATTACCCCAATCACTAGAACACATGCTGACCTTCATCTATTTGGCCTACTCTATGATGGCTCTTTTATATGAAACTGTCCCAGCTTTTGAAGATACCTGGATAGAATGCCTAGGAGATCTGGGACGTTACAGAATGGCTATTGAGGATGACGATATTAGAGACCGCGAAATTTGGACTGCGGTATCCCGTCACTGGTATTCAGAAGCCAGTGACAGGGCACCAACTGCCGGCCGGCTCTATCATCACTTAGCCATACTGGCTCGTCCAAATGTGGTACAACAACTTTCTTATTATGCGAAGAGTTTGTGTGTTGCTGTTCCCTTCCTATCGGCGAGGGAGTCCATTTTGACACTATTCGATCCGATACTTATCGAAAACAAAGTCCGTCTCATGCCTGTTGATACGGGCTTCTCAGAGGAATATGCTGCTTTCGCGCGAAACTGCGATCGCTTCAGGAGAATAATGTTTTTTCAGGTGCCTCAAATGGTCTCTGAGGCTTATGAATCCCATCACACTTATGTCGCGGCCCGGGGATTGACCTTGCCGCAGCATTTTTTGCGACCTAGCAAAGAGACTCCAACCCTCTATGGGGTCCACCATCGTAGGAAGATCTATAACGATGTTGGGGTTGATGGCGTTGGCAACACCAGCCGCGATAGTACGATACCGAAGCCCGCTGCCAGTTCAACATCGCCCGCCTGTTTACTATCAAACCTATCTATCGACCAGGGTTCTTGGATTTGTCCTCAGAAGTCTATTTACCGTCTTCTGAACTCTCTCATTCCAGTTTTCAGGACCTTGTCAGGTCCCATGATTCTCTCTAGTGTCTCCGGGGTTACAGCTGCTCCTCTTCAGACAGAACTTCCTTCTGGAGATTCAATATCAAGCATACCACAGAAAGTGATTAGCTTTGCTTTCCAAGCTATCTGCCTCGCTATCGCCATATGTTTCAATCTCTCCAGATATACAAATGAGCAGAAGCGCCAAATGAACGCAATAGCCATGGCTTTTGCCAATTATGTCACAGTGATGTTGGCCTCAAATACTTCCACGCCACTGGAGATATTAATAGGGTAAGTCGCCGGTAATGCCTAACTCGATAACGTTATCATTTTCTCTGAGCTATGTGTGGACTAATTTGTGTCATCCCAGATTCTGGCTGATATCGGGCTATGTCACATGCATGTTTGCACGATTTGACATGCTTGCCCTGAAGGCTGGTGAAGGGTACAGAACCTGCTTCCAATTCTCCTGATCTTCGCTCACTTTTCTAGGTATCTAGTAGGGCTTGTCATCCTCGCGTTGTTCACGGACGTGACGATGTCCAATTCTGTTTTGGAGGCGAAAGGTGCGAATGTCTTCGTACTATTGCTCCCGAGTTTCGCGCTTGTGTCTTGGGCCGGTGGCAGGGCGCATCGCTATTGGGATCCCGCGACGAGAGCATGAATGCGCTCAACTAATCGTGGACATGTGCCGCTGATGGGCATACGCTAGGATTATCAGTCGTGAAAGTCCTACGGAGACATACGTGATATCAAAGGAGAGGAAAGCAGAGGCTATCGCCCCGCTGCAACTCAAAATCTGCCCACAAGAGGCCTAAGGGATGACCAGTGAAGCAAGTGTTTTACAACGTCCCATGATGACTTGAAACACTTTGAGACTCATTCGATGATGATGAGAAATATTTCGAGAGGCATTCGATGATGGATCATCGAGAAGTAAGATTACTTTGGCTCACTTGTAACCACCAAGCTTGACGCATGGTTACCTCTTGTATTTGCATCATACGTTTGTCCTAGAAGAAATTCGAATAGCTCATGAATGGTTCCATGTGGTGAAATCGAATTCCAGCCAAGCCGGGCAATTAGCAGCGGCACAGAGAGACACAAAAGCCTTTACCACACTGGTCAAACACCTCGATGATTTCCGCAATACTCAGTTGATACTAATATCCACACTCAGTGTCTTTGCTCTTTGTACTCAGCAAGAACAGGGCAGCTCGACCGTTTCTATCCCTCAGATGCAATGCCCATCCTTATATGCTCGTAGGATCCTATGACATCTCGAATGTCCAAACACAAAGATGAGTGGGCTGTCATACAAATTTCAAAAAATGCCATTGTGTGTTCCTCTCTTCCTTGGAGTGATTAGGCGATAACAGTCCGTGGAAAGCCATCGGCCGCTGCCAGAGGATTGGTCTCTGCGAGATTTTGCTTCGGCTGACAGCTACTACCCGGGTGATCCGGGTGGCAGCATATCATTAAGTACTAGTACACTGCCTCTGTTATTCTCCATTTCCCTCCTGATACATCGACGACATCATCTAATTTTCGTCCATCCTCTACCAGCCACAAGCACGGAAGATATTCAGACCCCTCGGGGCTTGACTTGCTTTTCTCATGCTTCTGCCAGATATTGTCGTCCTGGCTAAGTTGCCATCGTTCTGCCCAGAATGACTCCCCTCCCTGGTAGATTCCCTGACAATACTCGCCAATGCGGATAATCATGCCCTTCTCCCCTCTCAGGCCTTCAGCCTCAGCGACAACACACGGCCGGACTTTGGCGTCGGGATCGGGCTTCGTCCAGTACTCCTTGAACATCTTTACCTTACCCTCCTTATCAGCCATGGTTCCAATCTCCATCACATCCCCATTCCCAAGAAGGTACATATCAGCACCATCGGTGTCAAACTGACAGCTCGAGTCAATAGTGTGCTCCCAGGTGACATGCGCACAGCACTCGTACGGCACACAGCTCTCCGTGCCAATCGGCAGCGTGGCGCGCGCGACGCCCGCCGTCGCGTACCCGTCAAACAGCGACGATGCCCACGGCGCAGTCGCCGAGAACGAGTCGGCCGCCATCGAGAAGCGGATGTCGACGTTCTTGCCCGACGGCGCCGTCAGCGCGATGACCGACGACTTCTCCGTCGGCGGGTCGTAGCCGAACGACAGGCCGCGGCGCACCTCGATCATCGGGCGCGAGAGCAGTGTCTTGGCCCAGGCGGGCCAGTCGTCTGGGACGCCGGGTGTGGATCCTCCGGCTCCGCCTGTAGCTGCGGCCGGAGCCGGTGAGGGTGCGGGCGCAGGTACGGAAGTAGTCGCCATGCTTGCAGGTTGGAGTACCGAAATCCCGGTCTTCCCGTTGTACGAAGTCGGATATCGGGAGGAAAAGGGCAATATTCAAGACGGGCGATGGCTGTGCAGGGAGATCGTCGGTTTTATGTGCCGCAATCCGTTCCTTCGCTACCGTATCTGAGGAGAGCACCTTATCTTGATGGCGCCGCATGTCATTCTAGGCCCCTGTCCACATCGGGAATTGACTCCCGAAGCTGGGCCACGACGGAGCAAATTCAGGGTCCACTAAGATGCACAAGCGTTTTGGGGGCCATATCTTGGACATCTTATCCATTCCAGCGGCTTCTACCCTATGGTATAACGAACGAATAACCTCGATAGATCAGGTCGTGAACTCGAAGCACTGCACAATTACAAGACCTCCATACAACTATAATCACGGGCGAGGCAGTACTGATAGACAAGGTCAAATTTTAGCCTTCTACTAGAGTAAGCACAGGGTAGAGAACGTAAGTTTATGACCACGGTCCGTACGCCCAATCCTTCCTTCTTTCCCATTCATATCGATTCCCATATTGATCCTCCATGTCGTATATCCATAAAAACATATGTACAGTCCAGTAGACAAGCCATTGAGTAACGCCAACCCATTCACTTGTGCGTTACACAAGCACATATTCCGTCAGCACGTCCCAATCTGCATGAGACCCGTGTAATTTCCTAAAGACAGTAACCCAGCTCCCGTCAGCCTTTTCCGGACCAATGATCGCATCATGCACCCGGAGGGGTTCGGGTAGATCAAACGGCGCTTCCAAACTCTGCTTATTCACATATCGTTCCATCTCACTGGAGTGATCGGAGCTGCCAGAAGGTGAGGCTCTTCTTGAATGTTCTCGTCGGTCTGTTAGGCCAGGATTCGGAGGAATGTGCAGTGCAGCAGCCGGTGTTGGAGGCGGAACAGGTTGTGTAAGCCAATTGGACAAGCCTTGAGGCGCAAGGAAAGCCATCATTGGATCTATTGCAGATATTGAGGAGGCTCCGTCTTGCGACGAGGAGAGCGAAGGCGCTGCTGAGAATGAAGATGAGACCTCCACATCCATCATCCCCAAGGCAGGATCAATCGGGAGGTCAAAATCAAGGTCCAGATCTTCGACGCTGAGTTCAGGTATTGATGTCGTGGCAGTTGTCGTGGGAAGAACCTCGCCGAACATAGTAGTCGGCGTCTCATGGACTGTGAACAAAGCTTCAGGCGCGACATCTCGGCTCGGCATGCTAGAGCGGAACGAGTCCGGGCCGAAGGGGCCAGACATTCCTCTAGCAAATATATCTTGCGGATTGACCTCCTTTGCGAAGGCTGCTGGCGGTGGAGGGAAGTCTGTCGGCGGTGTTGACCGCTCTGCCCATCTTTCCTCAACCTCTACTACATGCGCAGCAATTGAGCCCATGATACTGGCGCGCCAAAGGTTCTCTCGTCTTTCGGGATTTTTACGAAGTAGATCGAGTGCTGACCGTCTAATGAGTGGATGACGACACTTTGTTGCGACATAATATAGAGGCGGGATAACGTGTGTCTCGAAAGTAAAGTTTGCTGCGCTCGAATTTTGTGCAGATCTTGCGAAACCCGGTGGTGCACCGAAGGAGGCAACTACTGATCTTGATTGGAAAGGCTGACGTGGCATGGTTTGTTCGGCCTCAAGAAAAGATGCTGCAAGGGGTACGATTGCAGAAAATGATGCAAGATGATCATCGTAGGCTGTCTCTGATGTGCTGAGAGCTGTAGATATCCAGATCTGTTGCGCATGTAAATACATCTGCAGAACATGCATGTGATGTTCAGGCGCTGCAGTCGGTTTGGAAGCTCGGAAGAGAGAGAAAGCAACACTCAGCTTGGCCAATTGGCTGAGTAGGTGTTGTTGTTCATTTTGCAGAGCCCTAATGTGCTCGGGAGAAAGCGAGTCGCCATACTTTGCGGGTCGGGCTCTTTGAGTGAAGCGAAGTCCCTGATCCATGAAGTCATACATGCAATACCGCAGCTCAGCAAGCGACTTAAAGGTGACCGGAATAGCCGTTAGAGTCTTGAGACCAGTTGGTATTGGCACTGGGCTTCCACCGAAGAGAAACGATGTCAAACTGAGTCGAGTGTACATAGGAACAAGATGTTCCTTGATGCACTCAATTTCGGGGTCATCTGATTTTGCTTTTCTCTCGAGTTGACTTAGTATTTGACGGCCTTGCTCAAGGTGGATCAGTGACTCCTTGTCCTTGCTCTGCATGAACTCAATACAGACGAACAGGATGCATGTCAGCAACGAGGCCATCGGCTTGCTCCCGGCATTGTTCATCTGATCGAGGAGGCGGGAAATGGCTTTGTTGTACTGCTGGAGAGCGAAGGACTGGCTGGCCCCGCCATCCATGTACGGGTCGACAGTTCCCTGGAGAAGGCCTTCGTGTAGACTGCTAACGGCAAGGACTGCGTGCCTGACTGCATGTTCTGTCTGGCATATTTGCAAGACAAGAACTTTCCAAAAGGCGGCATCCAGATCCCCGGAGAGACTAGGTGCTGTTACGTGCTGGAAGAAATGAAAAGAGCGCTTCTCTTCTGGCGATGCCCAATCCAGTAGCACACCAAGAGAACGAGGTTCTGATCCGTCACTGTCCTTAGATCGACGTCTCGGCGCCATAGACTTCAAGTCTAGGTACCCATCACACTTCCGGCCTGTCTTGGTACAACGAAGACAGTATCTACAATTGAGAGATTAGTCTACAGCTATTAGTAGAGGAGGACAGACACGAACGGTTTCGATTCATCACATTTAACCTTTCGAATTCTATTCCACGTAGACGACTGATAAGCTTGGGCTCTCACGTTGTAATAGCAATTGCAGGCAGAGGTGGTCTGCTTGAGAAGTACTCACTTGCAAGTGATACATCCTGTCCTAACTTTCTTGGAGCCCTTTCGCCCTGAGGTTGGGCGAGATGGAGGGCTGGGCGAGCTCGAGTCTGTTGCCATACTGAGGCGATAGCGGTTGTACAACGGAGGTTGCATGTTGGCTGCAGCGGTGGGATCGAGACGGCTGCCACGACGGTATAAATGTCTGTCAGGCTCTAGGAAGCCCTCCATAGCTCCACTTCAGTATCAACACAGCGTCGATGGCCTGAGATGGGACGAAATCGCAGCAGCGCACAGGCTACATATGTAAAGCGGCGATCGGGCGGCCAGGATTTGTTGCTGAGCCTGTCTAGGTTGGCTCCACAAACAGACAGGGTCGTTTAACATTCTGAAAAGGGCAAGTGAGGGTTGGGGTGGGAAGAATCAGGTTGTCTAGAGCATGGGACAGGTCAATTGGGGGGATCGTCGCATTACCGTTGCTGCCGGCCTCTGGGACCCTCTTCGTGTAACGCGCAGGACCGCAAGCATTGCCACGGAGGTAATAGAGGAGCCCTGTGTGATTGAATAAGCCTGAATAAAGCCCCCAGAAGCGATATCTCTACTTGGGTCTTGCCTTAGCGGCAGCGGGGGGTTTGTAAGTCCTTGGGAGGGCGGCCAGGGGTTGAATCCTTTGACGCACCCTTGTTCCTTCCGGACAGCCCTAAATGCTTCTCCACTGGCCGGTTCAATCTGACCTAGAATAAAGTTAAATGGAGGATTGGCATGGCGGCATGTGCGTAGCCCTACCCGCATCAAAAGGACTTCCACTGACGAAGTTGGGCATGGAGATAGCGGATGCGTAAGCATCACAGCGGCGGGGGCAAAGACAGCCTGTCAAAGGTTGCGGATTTCGGAACACACCCAGGCAGGGTCATGCTCAGATCGAGTAAATGGATGAATGAATGGACGGCATGAGGGGCCATGGTAGATGATGATGCGTGTGTGGCATTCGACATGTGTGGCTGGCTTGTCGGAGAGCTAGTTCACGCCGTGAAAGGGGACCGCCAGCGTTTCAGTCGCAATCGACGGGGACTTGGAGAGGAACCAAAGAAGCGGACAGTGAGCAAGTTGCGCAACTGGGCTGCAAGACGACCCGGGTTACACAACTCCGCGTTTCTGTAGGCCAAGGGGAGGGGGGTCAATGAATGGCAGGGTCTAGCGTAGCGTTGCACCACCCAGCCCGCGTCTTGTTGAATCCTTCCAGGCTGCCGAATTAACTGGTGCACTAGCCTTGTTAAAGGCAGTAGTAGGGAAAAGTTGGGCCGGGATTGCCAGTTTGTCGGTCCCAAAATGGGACCACAAGACGTCTTGGAAGCGTCGTTTATCGTCCAATGTCCGTCTCGATACTACGGGCTCATCCTGCCCATTGGTTGACCACAGAAAGGGGAATGCTTGATGCCACGCTCTGCCGTTTCCCTAAATGACAATTTACACGACCACGTCGTCTGTGCTCTGCCGCGCGCGCGGAGTAGACTTAAGTGGTACAGACGCTTTAGTTTGCCAGAAAGCACCTTAATTGAACATCACTATTTCCGTCGCTAAAGCCTGCGTCTCTTAACCGCCGAATCGGCCGAATACAGATGTTGCGGCAGGCATTGGATGTACAAATCGTGTGTGGTTGGTCTGCTGCCTTTCGCCCTCGCCTTCTAGCCTTTTCCGCGCGCGAAAGAGCAACGGTCTGCGCGCTCGACTGGGACTCTCTCCGTCCCAGACCCTGAGNNTGAGCGCGCCAGCCTGCCCTCCAAATGGTAAGATATGAGCAGTTCTGGCTCGGGATGACAACAGTCCGGCGGCTGAACGTTTGTTGGTAATGAGAACAGGCGATGCTCGCTTCGGTTCTTCCGCGCGATATCTGTCCCCCAGCTGTTCAGGCGCATCATCATCAGGACTTGTTCGGGCCATTTAGCGAATGCGAAAATATCCAGAGTGAATGGCTGCTTTAACGCCTGTGATAAGACCCAGCTGGCGCAACGCTAACCAGGTTGGTCAGAGTGACTGCTGGCAGGAATATACGGACGAGATAGATCAAATTGCATCACAATCCGCCGACGTCTTCTGATCTGCTATCGACAGACTCAACGGGGGCCGGCCCATTGGCCCGGACCAAACTGTCAAATATGCTGTGCTGTGCCACACCGATAACCCGTCAGATCTCGCACCGATGCGAAAATTGTCCGAGCGAATGTCGCTCCGACACGGCTGTGAGGGGGTTCACCCCCCACGATGATGCAAATGCTGCTGGCCTCGTTTCAGGCACCGTTGAATCGACACCCGGATGTGGAGATGCCACCTGCAGGATTGGCATTCCCAAAGGAACTCCGCATTGCATTTCTGTGAGGGGAAGTCATCAAATTTCTGATTAATGTTGAGCAAGGCTCAAGAGTGCGCGCGCGCTACGTTAAATGGCTGCCTTACGGCTGTTGATGTCAGGATGTATCGCTCCCTCCGGTTATTGGGTGAGTGACGCCAGGCAGCACGATAACCTCCGAGGTAGGATGTTTTATTTATGCCCAGCTGGCCGTTGAAAGCGTCGTTTATATTTACATCAGAGGCCGAGTCGATAATGCGAACTTGCGAGGGCTGATCAACAGGCATCGTAGAACCAGGATACGGATATCTTCTAAGATTAGCAGAGTTCTAAGCCTTATCATCACGAAGGAAGTTGAAGCCTACCTCCTTGCCCAAATCTCATAATAAGACTCGAACTGGAAGGAGCTAGGGCCTTTCTGGGCCCTGAAAGTTTGGCCGAGTTAGCTCCTGCCATCAAAAGTTGCCGAAAGTTTCGGCCCTCGCTCAGTTGTTGGAAGGGGCCCCCTTGCTCCCCTTCCCCTTCCTCTTCTGAAATATCGAGAGATGGGGCGGTGAACTTGGATCCATGTATCCGGTCGTGATATCTGGCTATGCCTTTAATCGTGCTGCCTGACTACTGCGGTGAAGGGCCGTCATAGTACCCCTTGGAGTGGAGTTCACGAAATCCAACAATAGTGCTAGGCTGGACGGGAGGATGGCAACAGCTGCAACAAATTGAGGAAAGAGAAGTTTGCTTTGCATCTCGATGCCCACTGATCCAGGAAAGCATGACTCCCAGAACTTTCGCTGGCTATGGTCAGTGTCGTGTTATCACACAACGCCAAGGGCCAGGTATACTTGAGAATAGGCGGGACTCGATCCTGAGTTAGGGCGATGCTGTGGTCCACTCAGGTTATGGACTCGATATCGTTAAATTCAGCGCCTTGGCTTGGTGACACTGATACCTTGACAGATGAATCCAGCTCTGGAGAGTTTGTTGAGACTACAAAGAGGAGGGTCTCGTGTATTTAACGACCCGCCTCTCGAAACACTACGAACAGCTTCGGGATCTACTTTCTGGGTCTTATACTAGCTACGGCCGAATGTGCCTCATCACCAGCAGTGGGGTTGAGGACGAAGCCTAGAGTTGCGCGATCGATTTGCTCGCATTTTAAGCCGAGTTCATCTCGCACTCTAAAGCCACCACTTCCAGCGCCTGAACAAGGAAATCGTATTTCGCACAGAGGAACCCGAAATCTGTTTTTCCGACCCTCTCCGCTGCCGGGGTTCTCGCACGGAAGACAATAACCAGCAGTGTTGTTTTCTTGCAAATACTATTGCGCTAACATGTCGTTGAACTCAGCGAATGTTTAACCATTCACCTCTTCAACAGTATACTACTGAAGGACTATATTCTCCTTTACTATATAGTGTAGATCAGATTCATACTGTCTTTAATACACTCTGTTGGTAAGGGAGCAAGGGCTGGAGTATTCAATACTTCAGGCAAACCGCCTGCGGGCAAAGCATATGGTTTCAGATACCATTGTTCGTAACAGGAATTCTTCCCTCTCGGGCTTCTCAAATGCCATACAACGGACATGGACCTACGTACTCGTTCAGGGGTTTGTCGGCGTCCTCGCATGTAGTGAGAGAATGTGATTGGCAGCCTCGGTTTGCGAAAAGTCGTTTCCTCGGTCTCTTGTTGGCAGCTGTGGAACCGTGACTTATCCGAGCCTCAAATCGGTGACAAGGCTACATAATATGGATGATGCCTCGTATGAGTTTGGTATTATCGAAGTCGTGCGTATGTTCATGTCAATATGTTATCCTTAGCAGGGCGATGTTCAGATGAACCTTCTACCACTCATAGACGCTATTGTGGAGAAACTTTAGATGCTATGCGGCTCTTCAAATCTCTATCTAAGGCCTTTGTTTTCACCTTCACCTTGAATGGCAATCTATCCTAACGAGGAGGACTCCAAACTGGGTCTCCTGGGCTGGACTTCTGCCTGTGACAGAGTCTTTAGGATCAATTACATTTATGAGACGATGACAAAGCAATTATCCTAGGAAGGGAACAGTTCCATTTGCTGAGTATGGAATCGTACGCAAACTGGAGGCAAAGGACTACGAACTCGAGCGCTTGTCTGCGTATGATAAGTTCTCTTCAGCAATTCGATGTGACGCAATTTGCTACTCCTCCCCCAGGGTATTGAATGTCAATTCTTGAAGCGTGAAGACACTCAATATTGAAAGTCGTAAAACTTATCAAGATCCCAAAGATTCTATTTATTACAATGGGTCTAACTTCTGCAAAGGTAATAATCCCTTGTTGAGGAGGTAATATCCCCTTGCCGAACTAACTTTCATGAAACTGGAGGGGGACTACTCTCGCATTGTTGACAAACTAAGAGCAAAGCAGTTCGGTACTGATGGACGGCCTTGATGTTGATCACAGCAACCAAGACCACTTGCTAGTGTCAGAAAGTCCTGTGCGTTAGTACAGCTGCCAATGTCCAATGCGACTCGAGACGGTTTCAAAAGGCCAGAGTCGGCAATTGTCCTTTGTGTTCCTTGCGAGGCTGAGAACAGTGCCTATCGGCTGCTCCACCATGAACTCCGCGGTTGACGCAGAAATCCGGTAACACGGCAACTAGAACCTGGCCTAGGGGCCGTGTATGGAAGGTCTCGGATATGTTCGAGAAAGAGAAGGCTTCAAGCCACACGAACTCGGCGAATCGTGTCCGGGAAGTAAGCGCTTGAGATACTTCGAGGAGGCTCTTGGGGGCTGAGGGTCGCTAGAATGGGCCAAGCATTGATTCACAGCCTCCCCAGCTCCGCACTAGACATGCTTATCGGGACGGAAAGGATGGACTGAGGGGTAAAGCTGCGCGACTCTGGCCCCCAATCTGTCTCGTTTGGGCATCTGCTTCCGATACTGAGACCAATGTTCCATTGGGAGCTGTTGCTTTTGAAACCTATGGGAACCCGACATGAGGGAGCCGTGTCAGAATCCTGCATAGCTGGTATAAAGGTCTTCCCGTCTCCAAGGCTCGTTGGTGAGAGTTCGTCTCTAGACCAATCCACTATCAGGAATCAGACTCAACGGCTATTACCATCCAGTCGTAGACAGAAACATTGCTATTCTAGAATTTACCAGCCTCGCCTTTGCCGAGGCTATACGCTTGAGCAGTCATTCTCAGCTTGCGAATGAGTGGTTCGAGGAATTCAGTCCCCTCTTCCCTGGCGCCGGAGCTCGGCTCCGGACGCACATCTACGTCCTCAAGAAACTCGTATGTATAAGCATCATCATATATGACACGGTTCACATGACTGACAGAGTGACAAGGTGCGGATCATCTGCCATAACCACTCGATTTTCATCACGAAATTCCTATCCTGTTATCCCGTGGCTCGAAGAGGGCTGGCTACACCGACTCATCCCGTACGAGCACATGGCAACGGCAAGTCCCCGGGTCGGAGTAGGCATGATTGGTCAAGGTCTTCTGGATCACCACGTCAGCCTTATCCGAGATCTTGATCGTGTCCAGAACCTGCTCCGCCACGGCACATGTACCGGCCCAAAGACGAAGATGGCAACTTGGCCTATGTCTAAACAGGAGGCGATGAAAAGACAAAAACCCCTTGTTGTTTGAGCAGGCTTGTATAATTGTTTAGCAGGCGTTTAGGAACGGTGTCAAGAGGGCAAAACAAAAGCCTGGGAATAACAAGGGCTATCTGGGAAAGCTGCTTAAGAAAACCGAAACTGGGAAAGGGAAGTTAAGGAGCATGGGAGAAAAAGGCTAATACAGCTTGGGAGAATGATACCTACCTAGGTATTGTTAATGGCAGCTAGACATATTTACAAGGGCATGTTCTTGCTCCTCAATTTCATTCAAGCAATATCTTCTTTCACCAACGACACAAACCAAGTGCGAGGAAGTAAACATCACGTTGGAAAGTCTGGCTGAAGTGCACAGGCTGGTTTCAAGCAGAAATGGCAAGACATTAAATGATGATTTGTTGACTTGGGTCCTGAAGGGGTCTTTGTCTCCCAAGGCTGGCGGTCTGTCAAGGCTGACGCTTTGCGTAGCCACTCACTGCCTAAAGCTGACCCTATTTTGCCTGAAGCTAACAGATAGTCAGCAAAAGAAGGTGTTGGAAGCCTTTAGCAAGAAGCTTGGGCCACCTGAGCTGTTGTGCTGTCATCAAGAGTGGAGTCGGATATCGCCTCCCAGGTTTTTCCGGGCCCAAATCGTCATCCGAGTGGTCGCCTAGTGACCTGCTTGGCGGCGCAGTGCAGTGCTGGCCTTCCCAAAGACCTTAGTTGGTGACCTTACCTTGCCTTGCCTTACCTCACGGGCACCTCTTGAAACCTTGCCCACTTGAAGACAGCTCAACCTCTCGATCTTCCTTCCATCTCCCAAAACTTTTCCCTTCCTCCATCACAACCCCTCCATTTCCACTGCTCTCCTCGTTGGTCTTTGCGAGGCGTCAGATCGTTTTCTGCGAGATTTCACTGCCCATACTCTCATTCCACGCCAGCTCTCTTTCTCTGGCGTCATCCGTGTCCACTCCCGCCTCACTCCCACATCAACCCTCGGCAAACGGACAAGATGGCTCCTGAGCCCACCCCCGCCGATCACCCTGAGCACAAGAAGAAGGTCAACCTGATGGATGCATCAGGAGCCGAGCGAAAAGATGAAGATGACACCGCTACCGCCATCCTCAAGAAGAAGAAGAAGCCCAACCAGCTGATGGTGACGGATGCCGTCAACGATGACAACTCCATCATCGCCCTCTCAAACAACACCATGGAGGCTCTCCAGCTCTTCCGTGGCGACACAGTTCTGGTTCGAGGCAAGAAGAGAAAGGACACAGTCCTGATCGTTCTCGCCGACGACGATCTTGATGACGGCAGCGCCAGATTGAACCGAGTTGTCCGACACAATCTGCGGGTCAAGCACGGTGACATTATCACCATCCACGCCTGCCCAGATATCAAATATGTAAGCACACGAGACTTCATACTTCATCCTATCGCTCAAATATGTGCTAACTTTGTCATTAGGCCAAGCGTATCGCTGTGCTCCCTATCGCCGACACCGTCGAGGGTCTGACCGGCTCCCTGTTCGATGTCTTCCTTGCCCCATACTTCAGAGAAGCTTATCGGCCAGTCCGCCAAGGCGACCTCTTCATAGTGCGTGGAGGCATGAGACAGGTTGAGTTCAAGGTCGTTGAAGTCGACCCTCCAGAGTACGGTATCGTTGCCCAAGATACAGTCATCCACTGTGAAGGCGAGCCGATCCAGCGAGACGAGGAGGAGAACAACCTGAACGAGGTCGGATACGATGACATCGGTGGTGTCCGCAAGCAGATGGCTCAGATTCGAGAGATGGTTGAGCTTCCGCTAAGACATCCCCAACTATTCAAGTCTATCGGTATCAAGCCCCCTCGAGGTGTGCTTCTCTATGGTCCTCCTGGTACCGGTAAGACACTCATGGCTCGTGCCGTTGCCAATGAGACCGGTGCTTTCTTCTTCCTGATCAACGGTCCCGAGATCATGTCGAAGATGGCTGGTGAATCTGAGTCGAACCTGAGAAAGGCTTTCGAGGAAGCCGAGAAGAACTCCCCAGCTATCATCTTCATCGACGAAATTGACTCTATTGCGCCGAAGCGTGAGAAGACCAACGGTGAAGTTGAGCGCCGCGTCGTCTCGCAACTGTTGACTCTCATGGACGGCATGAAGGCGCGGTCTAACGTCGTTGTCATGGCGGCCACCAACCGACCTAACTCTATCGATCCCGCCCTGCGTCGTTTTGGTCGTTTTGACCGTGAGGTCGACATTGGTATCCCTGACCCCACTGGTCGTCTCGAGATCCTACAGATCCACACCAAGAACATGAAGCTGGGTGATGATGTCGATCTAGAGCAAATCGCATCCGAGACTCACGGTTACGTCGGTTCCGATATTGCTGCTCTCTGCTCCGAGGCTGCGATGCAGCAGATTCGTGAGAAAATGGATCTCATTGATCTGGACGAGGATACCATCGATGCTGAGGTGCTCGACTCACTTGGTGTCACGATGGACAACTTCCGATTTGCCCTTGGTGTCTCCAACCCCTCCGCTCTCCGCGAGGTTGCCGTTGTCGAAGTTCCCAACGTCCGCTGGGAGGACATTGGTGGCCTGGACGGCGTCAAGGAAGAGCTCAAGGAGCAGGTGCAGTACCCAGTCGACCATCCGGAGAAGTTCCTCAAGTTTGGCATGTCACCTTCTCGTGGTGTCCTGTTCTATGGTCCCCCCGGTACGGGTAAGACTATGTTGGCCAAGGCTGTCGCGAACGAGGCTTCTGCCAACTTCATCTCCGTCAAGGGCCCTGAGCTCCTCAGCATGTGGTTCGGCGAGTCCGAGAGCAATATTCGAGACATCTTCGACAAGGCTCGTGCTGCCGCTCCTTGCATTGTCTTCCTGGACGAGCTAGACTCCATCGCCAAGGCTCGTGGCGGCTCTGTCGGCGATGCTGGCGGAGCCTCTGATCGTGTTGTCAACCAGCTTCTGACAGAGATGGACGGCATGACTTCCAAGAAGAACGTTTTCGTTATTGGCGCCACCAACCGACCGGAGCAGCTTGACCCCGCTCTGTGCCGTCCAGGTCGTCTTGACTCACTTATCTACGTCCCTCTCCCCGACGAGACTGGTCGCTTGAGCATCCTAAAGGCTCAGCTGCGCAAGACTCCTGTTTCCACCGACATCGATCTCAACTACATCGCTTCCAAGACTCACGGCTTCTCTGGTGCTGATTTGGGCTTCATCACCCAGCGTGCTGTGAAGTTGGCCATTAGGGAGTCTATTGTTGCTGATATCGAGCGCACCAAGGCTCGTGAGGCTGCTGGTATGGACGTTGACGAGGAAGAGGAGGCTGAGGATCCCGTCCCAGAGCTTACCAAGAAGCACTTCGAGGAGGCTATGCAGATGGCTCGTCGTTCCGTCAGCGATGTTGAGATTCGTCGGTATGAGGCCTTTGCCCAGCAAATGAAGAATGCTGGCCCTGGTGCGTTCTTCAAGTTCCCTGAGGGAGGTGTCGATGCTGCCGGAAACAACGGCGGTGCTGGTAACTCCTTCGGTGACGCCGGCAACGATGATGGTCTCTATGACTAAACATCATTCTGTCACACGACTATCAATGTATTCTAGTTTCCTATGCATCTTACATCCTCACTAGAGAAGCACTAGTGGGAGACATGTTGAGTGCAAAATCAATACAGGGGGGAGGCGTGGATTTCAGTTACTAATCGGCCGAATGCACATGTACTTTCTCCCGCAGGCCTGCAGTCACGTTCCCTGCTTGACGACACGAATCTGGGAGGGAGAGAAACTGGCTGGCAATCATCTGGCATCTCCGTAGACTGCAAGGCTGGTTTTGCTACCTCATCATGATTGCAAACAGATTGCGATCTTGGCTTTACGATAGATTTTCCTCAATTGACTTCGTTAATCCATTTTCAAAATGTGTCCTTCCCCAAGCGCCTTACGAACATGGCCATCTTATGATAGGAGAGAGCATTCACAAAAGCAGGCAAAATAGTGCATGTGAGTCGTTGATAATGAAGAAACGCATGATATCATTTTAACCCAAGAAAAAAACATAAGATACCACATCTATGAATGCCCTTTTGATACGCCGTGATGTCCATTGTCGTGTCGTGATGTTGCCAGTTTTTACAATCAATCGCTCCGCTCGAGCAGTCGTAGCCCCGGATCATCCTCTCAGGATCGACCCTCTTCCCCCGGGACAAGGGAACATGACGCGGTCTCGAGCCGGTACTCTTCATGCTTCCTCTCATTCTTCCTCGGTATCAATGTCCATCAGATCATACCCCCCCGGATCGTCCTCCTCCTGTTGCGTCGAGCTGTCAGCGGTCTCACGTTGCCCCGTTCTCCTCGATCTCACACACCATCTCCAGCGCGTCCCGCGTCACTTTGAGCGCCTCCTCAATCACTGCCGCCGGCACCGCCAGGGTGGACGTCGTGTCCTTGTTGAGGTTCTGTGCCTCGCCGGGGCCCGGCCCGGAGGAGGCGCCGTTGACCTTCTTGCCGTTTACCTCTGCGCCGTTCTTTGTTGGTGTGGATGTGGAGTTTGTGGCTGACGAAGAGGAGGAAGAGGATGCGGATGTCTCTTGGCGGACGTCGTCCATGACTCGTCGTAGGAGCGCGGGGAAGGTGGTGACTTCGCCGGAGCGGAGGAGGTTGAGAGCGTGGTTTTGGACCATCGTCGGCCAGTTGTTGGGGTGGGCGTGGAGGGAGTGTAGGAGGTGTTCTTGAATTCTGGATCACGATTAGCTTTCCTGCCAGAAACAATCCGCGTGGCATAGTATTCGTGAATAGGAAGCCTAATGCTTCGGTCCGCGGTGTCCCATTCTGAAGAGCAGGAGCTGCGAATTGAAGTGTGCACTAGATGGAGCAAACAGGACATGCCTATACATACTTCAATACATGGCCGTCCCGCAGTAACACTGCATTTATTTGTGACCTTAACTCGGGATCCATTGTGGCTGGAGTGTAGCTCGCTGCTGCTGGCGGCACTTTGACTGGTGTTGATGGCTGATTCGACATAGCCGGTGGCGGGTCAGCGACGGGGAGGATGTTGTGGGAAATTAACAAGAGGCGATGGACGACCCGTTATTGCTGCAGAGTCGCAAACTTGCACCGTTGATGCAAAGATATGTAGCAGAGAGAGGACAGCACCATAAGCGTCGCTATAGGGTATTTTCGTCGTCAAGCACCTGGTGAGGCTGGTGGGTGTTGTTCGTGCCAGGCAAGCTAATTCGCAGAATCTCGGTCGCGCAGCAGGCCGCAGATCAGCACAGAGTGATTCGAGAGGGGTGGTGGGCTCAATGGTGGTCTGCCTGCCTGAGAAGAGCACCACCTTTGACAAAGAAGGCGCGGATACAAGCACGGCAAGAGGAGTTTGTGAGCTCCTACAGCAGACCGTCGTCGGAGATCAAGGCGAGGATGAGCACAATGGGCCGGCGACAAGAGCTGTTCTGGCGAGGCTGAATTGATAGGAAACTTTTGGCGCTGCGCGCAAGGCTGAGTGGTGTAGGTAGCACGATGCTTGTTTGCGGACAGTGCAGGGGCTCCCATTGGAGCTCAAGGTCTCCAGTGACTGTTGGCACGTGTGCACCAGCTGGCAGCTATGGTGGTGAAAATAACGGAGTGGCAGCGCTACGCCGTGTAATTAACCAACTTCTCCTCGGTCATTCTGGAATACCCTGAACATCTCGTGGGCAAGACAAACCACATCTCACTAAACGACCGTTCTCTTATTATGATGGTTTCATTTTATGGGCTTCAAATGAAATTGCGATGTAATTAGGGCTTCTCGGAATGTTCATGACTGCATTCATTCCCGGTGTGTCTACATTCAAGAGCCTGAAAGTGCCTTATATCTGAATCTGTCGGGATTTCAGCAAGCTTTGTAAACAGAAGCCTCTCATATTGACACTTATTAGACGAAGAGCTCCCGAGCACCAAAGAAATGTACAATACGGCACACCACACCCCTCATTCCCTTCTTGGTGAGTCGACACCTCGATTGGGAGAGTGGCGGTACCACCTCCGTGATCTTTTCGCAACCCATCAAGTTGGTCTCTTGTAAACTGTATTGGTAATGCATCAGCAAGAGATGCATCTATTCCTTGAGGTTTGCCGACAAGGATGTGCAATCTAAATCTTCGAAAAGGCTATCAGTACAGGTCACGGCGCACATCGATATTGCGTATTGCACATCTGAGGGCTTGTGTGAGTGGCCGGTGTGACAAATTCGTTCGTGGAAGGACCAGTCCATTTGCCATGTACTAATATGGCAATGCTATTGCAAGCCGGAAACATGACCTCAGTATTGCAGCATCCCGCTCGCAAAGTTTCCGCTCGGAGCTCTCCATTCGTTTCCGGAACTCACGTAATTCTGTACTCGTATATGAGCAGTATGTCTTACTCTGAGACCTACAAACCGGCCACCAAGATGGTAGAGAACAGCCCCAGAACTTAGACATAACCTGCCAGTCTAGAATATCGTACTCAAACAGAACAACCTGCGCGTTAGTCGAACACCACGAGTCTAGAAGGAGTGTGTAATTGAGTTCAACATTCATACTCACCATCTATAGGTTACATACAAAGCGTGTGCCGACAAGGGGGGCACTACTTGACTGGTTGACATTACATTGTGCTGCCATCCCATGAAAGCCCTGTGATGAAGTCACGAAGTCGCATGCGGGCAGTCATAAGCAGGATGGACTTTGAGATCAAAATTCCTTGAAGATTGCTTGGTATTATCCACGATGACCTGTGATCTCTCAAATGGTGCTACACTATGTTTCTCGCCAGGCCGCCTCTTGATCAAGAACATTTATGATGAACAGAATTTTGCCGGCATGGTGCTCAAATACAGCGTAGGAGTAAAAGCATTTATGGCTCGATGACAAAGGATGTCTGGACTTGTCAGTACAGTGTGGTCAGTCAATGACTAGCTGGGTAGGACTAAGAAAATATGAAATAAAGAAATGGACTCTGGCTTGATACGGTCAGAAGAGTCGATGGATGCGTGATGAGATAGCTTCTATGACCTCTAGGATGTGGCCAAGGACTGATGATTGTATGGACTGTCTGTAGTTTAAGTTCCCAATCCGGTCTATTGCAGAGTCCTGCAGCACTAGCCTTGGTCCCCCTTTCGCATATATGCAGTACTCCGCATGCTTCGCTCTCGAGGGACAGACATACAATGCTCCCACGTTCCTGGATAACGGGCTGCATTCGTGGCCCACAGAATCGTGCAGTTGCATGGAGTGTCGTTGAGATATGCCTCGAAGATCCTCCTTCCCCTAGGGGCTGATGAGCAGGGCTGTAATCTGCAGGGTCGGAAGATCTGCGTCTAGGACGAACCGTGACGGCAGAGATGGGCCGAACTTGTACTGCCTACTTCATGTATACCCCACGCACGCTCATGTAAGTCCCCTGCAATTGCAGCGTGGGCGACTTCGTGGTGTGGAGGGGAGAAATTGTCGTGATGGAGGTTGCTGTGCCCTCTTGTCACCTCATTAGAAACTGGGCGGTCGTCAGGGGCCGTGGTGGTTTCCACGATCATAGACGACGCAAGTATGTATAGTACCCGCTATATAGACCATCATCTACATTCTTCAGCTGACCGTTATCTGTCAGGCGGGGAATTTGATACGACTGTGTGACCCTACTGTTTAGACGGCTGAACGCCTGTGCTGCTTTATGGCACACCTCGATTGCCCAAATACGGCCATAGGATGCTTGCCCACGCCACTTGATTTGCTCATTTTATTCAAAGAGACAACAGATACCGTATAACCAATCTGACAAGTCAACAGGTCTTGAGACCTTTATTGTCAATCTTGATGTGCTTTGCTGCTGGACTTTGTTCAATCTCAAACCCTCACCTGTGCATAAAAGGGGCTCACCTCCGTTAACCAATGACGGACAGCATGTCGTCTAGCCCAGGTGACAATCCACCTCTGTGGCATTTCGGTTTGCTCGAACTACGAAACTGATCGCGGAAACAATTGCTGATAGCTCGGCATACAATTGTTTTGTAACAGAGCCCTGGTGCCATTTACGGCGAACTCCTTGCTGGGGCTTGTACCTGATTGAATTACCGTCGAGAGCCCGAATAAGATGAGAACCGTTGGCTTGCCATGAGAGGCATCTGAATCGTCTTGATTCTCTTGATCCAGAAAATCCAACGGAGGGGGGAAGGCCATCAGACAGGTAGAATAGGTGGGGTGTTGTCTGATGCACCTGCACACAAACAGAAGATGGTTGAGGAAGGTGTGAACCAGCCAGTAGGTTCCTTCTCAATTCGAGCAACACCTGGGCAGGGCACAACACCACCCTCCCAGCCACTGCTTTGCCGCGACACAGCCTTGACTTACTGTTACTGGACTCTCTTCTGCCGCATTGTTTTCAACCCGGTTCCAGTTCATTCTTGGCTGAATATCCAAGCGGCTAGAGCGCGTAAACCATCTCATATTACACGGAGCTTCGGACCAAATATAAGCACGTGCTCAGATGCTCCTCCATCCCAGCCTTACCTTTATGCTCTCAACGAAGAGGACCATTGAAGATTTTCTTGCCAACGTCGCAGCTCCAACAGAGCAAGATTTTTGAGCGACCCGAAGAGATAGCACTGGAGATGCACTTCGATGGGCGATAGACTTGGCAACGAGATGCTTGAGCTGTCATTGACAGTCATCATCTCGATCCACGAGGACGCAGCGACTCGCGACCTCCATCCCAAAGGCAGCTCGGGATCAACGCATTCGTTGTAGCATCCGGCGGACTTGAACTCATCCTCCCGGTGTCTCTCAATGCTGAGGCTGTGATACTGTATATTACAGCACGAGAAGGCATTCCGGTACCACTATCCACTCTGGGCGAAGGAGTATATCACTGCTTAAACAAGCACTTGATTGTTGCTCAGTACTAGCACCAGACTTTTACTGTGGACCGGCATTTGCTTGATAGCCAAGCAGGGCCAAAATGTAATCCTGTCAAAAATATCGGTGAGGAAGATGAGGGCAATGTATCCCGCCCTATACTTGGAGAAGTCTTTCATGAGCTGAACGTTCATCTAGGAAAGATGTATATCCTACTCCACTGTGGGATACTGCCTCTTCGAGCACATCAAATAGCAACCTACGACAAAGGCCATCGAAGTCGAGCTGCAAGCTCATCTCGAGACACCCATGTGAATGCAGCATGAAGGAATTATCATTCTGGATCGACTGGATTGCGTATCAGCAGACGCGATTGTGTTACGGAAGCTCAAGAACAAAATAGTGGCCGATATGCCATATAAAGAGTTCGCCGCTTGTCTAGAGTGCCAGACATGAGATAAATTGCATCTCGTTTGGACGACTCGGTTTCCACACCCTTCACTGAAGAGGAATTGCAATCTGGCCTGGGACAGCTGTCCTCTTATGCTTGACCTTGCCAAGGTTTTGACCTGGACAGCTAGCGAAGTGTGATGCTTTGCGGCAAACTCCTCTGGTAATAGTTTGACCCATAGCCTGAAACCCCGGACTTTCAGTACATATTTGCTCATGGACCAGAGACCCACGATCAGGTCTTCATGCAATGTGCAGTATATGGGGATCAACCGTCAGTTCTCGACCGGAAGTCCCACTTCTGCACACAACCCAGAGCTGCTTCTTCCCCCACGCTTCCCCAAATCAGGGCAACTCTGCATTCACGTCCTGCATATGTTGTGTTGAGGGCCATCTCTCAGCCTTGTACAACGCTTGCTGCAGCCATGTTTTTTTTTTTTTTTTTTT